TAGAGTTAAAAATCCAAGACTTAACCAAACTGTTGTTGGTTTGCCATTCATCAAATTTCGCATCCCTCTCAGGAGGCGCTTTTATTTGGCCATTGATATGACCAAGCTTCGATCTGCCCCCGAGGGCCACTGTAATAGCACGAGACCATGGAAGAAAGTTCTTCTCATTTAGCAATATGTTTGTGAGTCGTTGACCGGTGGCGGTGGAGCTGGGTTCGGAATTGTTCGAACTTGAATCAGTCATGATTTGAACAACAACCGTGTATACACCAAGAAGAAGGACACGGATGGATCAAACACACAAACAGGTACGAACCTGCTCTGATACCATGTAAAAATTAGATAAGAAGACACAATTTAATGAGGTTCAGCAATGTGCCTACGTCCTCGTGTAATCCTCTCTCATAGTTTTTTTGTTATATCGTCTTTGAGAGAGGGACTGCCATTTTATTGATGAAGTACAAGAAAGGACAACAATGAGAAAGCCTAAAGCCAAAATAGGCAATTTCCCAGAATTACAGAAATCAAACAAATCTATATAATTTCTTCCCAAAAAAAAGGAGGACCAGCACCAATCACGTCAACCTCCCAAATAGGAAGACCAGCACCAATCACGCCAACAACCAAGACCAAAATTGGCACTTAAGCTATCATTTTTTTTAAACAAGTGGCACTTAAGTGATCCGAAAGAAACTTTTGGCACTTAAGTGATCCGACAAAATCTTTTGGCACTAAAGTAGAAGGAAGACAACCGCGAGTGTCGTTTAAACTTCTCTTTCTCTCCTTTTCCAAACAACACGACCATCGAAGTATACTATAAATAAGCAAAGAATAACATGACAAGTGCTCAAAGTTTAAAACTTGATTCGTTACTCGGAAGCATGGATCTACGTGACAACCCCACGCATCGGGCGTCCACATGTGTACAATTAGCGAGGCTTTAAAAGACTTGGGATGGTGATCTCTAGCTTCTCAAGATAGATACATTAATTAACTAATAAACAATAAGAATTTCGTTAAAGAAGATGTCTAGAGGACACTTGTTAAACAGATTAAGCGGGGAAGTTCTTTAATACCGAATGTATCGTCTGTTTAGATCATCGTGTATTCAAATATGTTTAACAAGTGTATCGGAGATACTCGTTAACAGATTTACCCCAAGCTAATTTTTTTACCATTAAAAACTCCAAACTGGTACGCTTGTGACAAATTTACCCTCTGTTAGTTTCCGTTAAATTGAATTAATACCACGAAAATCACAAGTTAGTACACCCGTGACAAATAGAGGATAAAACTTCAAACTAGTACAATCATTAATTGTCACGTGTCATCTAACTCGGTAATTTAACGATAAAATTTAACGAAAACTAATGGATGGTAAATTTATCATAGGTATACCAATTTAATTTATGGTAAATTTATCACAAGGGTACCGGTTTGGAGTTTTGCGTGATATTAACCCTAACCCTAAATACAAAAAGGCATTGCCTTATTATTATATGGTGCTGGGGATGTAGATGAGCAATGAAAAGCTGGGATACATTGAACTCAATAACACAGTCTTCATCTTCAATTACCCAAATTGCAAAACATATTCAACATGGGGGGGATGTGGATAAAAATACTCATGTGGGTGTGGGCGACAACATCGCGATGCCAGCTAAAATGACAAATCATCGACGGTTGAGGATGGCCGAGCACGAAGATCGCGATCTCTCTTTCTCCGCCTTGGGATTATGATCCCTTTTTGTTAGTATTAATGTTGGTGAATACGATGAACATACATGCATGGATTCTTGTCTTTATGTGGCATTATAGATAGCATTAAGCAAATTTAAGAGGAGATAAAGGAAGTGGTACGGTAAAAGAGAAAGAGCTTCAATCATACTCTTTAAATTTTAATACCGAGAAATGAATGGGGATTAGATTAGTTAATCATGGATTCCACCTTGGCTTCAGCGTAGGACAGACTCGGTCCACGTTGTTCAATTATTATGGTACCTCTATTCAAATGCCTCCCCTCTCTTCAGTACGCGTTACGGTATTTTCTAGATTCAATCTTACATCAAGAATCTATCATATGGCATGCCTCGTGCATTCCCTTTTTTTTTGCCTTTCTCTCTAATCATGTTTCCCTGGGTGTATGTATTGATTATGACATATCATTAGTCGCTAATCATGGGGTTAGTTACATGGACAACCTCGATTGAAAAGATTTCAGCTGAAATGGGTCGGTAGCCCGACCCCAAAAACCCTACTTCCATGAAGCTTCGTGGTTAGCTATCTTTTGTCCATATCTGGTTCTATGATTCGTTGATGTTCATAATCTCTTCCAATGTTGATCCCCACGCAAGTTCTCTCTCTAGAGATAAGCGCGCGTGAGTTGACGAGACATGTGGGAGATAATTAGGAAGGCAGATCAATATGTTGTTTGAAAGCTGTTGTAGGAGCTTTTACTTCTCGTTAATTCATAAGCAATTAGATGGTGATCTAAGTTGGATTTTCTCCCTCGTCTCAGTTGCTGGCATTCCGAGTCGAAATAGATAACAACTCTTCCCGGTAAGCATGGAACATCACGAACAAGCCTTTCAATTAAAGTAAGCATACTTCAAGAAAAGATTCATCATACCTAATCAAGAAGATCTACATACTTGTACTGCACATATGATGATCATGTTATGGGAAACTATAGAGATTTTTTCATTTCAGAAAACGATGTTCTCGTATAGATATGACGGACGAGGTCAATATGTTGTAATCTCGGAATACATAGAAACTAGCAAGCGAGAAGCCCCTTGCGTTACGTGGGCGTAAGCACAAGGCAAGTGCATTTCAGTGATTCGAACTGATGAATGCTGAGGCTCAACCATGTCCATATGAGGGACATAGACGAAGGTCCGAAGTTGGCAATACAAATAACTAGTTTTCTTTGCTTTCTTCCCCAACTGGACAGCCCCCCTTTCATACTTGAGCTTAAGGTAAAACAAATCCTACCCCACAGAGAGGGAGGGAGGGAGAGTGGGAGGGAGAGAGGGGAGTTTCTGCATGAAGCGGTGTTTACTCCTTGGAAAAGGAAAAGATCTGTCCTTTTGTGTTCATGTCAGAAAATCACAGAGATGCTTTTAGAGAAGTGCAGTGCAGTACCTGCAACAGGGTTTTCCTTTCATGGACAGATCAAAGAAAAAGATAATACAGCTCGTGCGATTGGGAAGAGTCCAAGATTCAAGAGGAGGTGATAAAAATAATGGGACATGACCAGAAACACAAAATCACTTACCGGAATAAATGAAGGCAGCGGAGGCTAATTGGGTCCATGCAGATTAGTTGCAGCCAAACCATTAATAATTGCAATTGAGGAATCATTCATGATGGCCCCCAGTTCATAGCTGTACATTCATCTGGACTTTTGTCTCGTTATGGATCGTTGAAAAATGCAAAGAACCCCACATCCATCCCATGCAGCAGCAGCAGCACCACCACCACCACCAGACCATGTGTTCCTCCCGTACTTTGTCTCCACCTGTAATCTGACTCACAACCGCAACTCCCTCCTTAAATCTAGAAGTGAGTAGATTGAGCTCCAGTCAAATTCTGATCACTGAGAATGTGAGTAGAGATGAGTCGAGTCAACCTCGACACTACATCCAATTAACTCTATCGACTCAACCGCGCACTTAGTTGGATGGTCCAAATCGTCAAACATCCTAGACATTTAATCAAGGGGCTTTGTAGTTCCATTACTTGTGATCTCTCAATTTCTGGACAGTTTGACTCCGATTGTGTTGATTTCTTTAATCTCCTCAAGTTCAGTTTTTTTAGGGGTGAGCATGGTTCTTTTACCCTGGAACCTGAGAACTAAACCGATACGAACCTGTCAGTTCCAGGTTCCAGAGTATACAGGGTAAGCTCCAGATTTCAGGTTCCAAAAATTGGGAAACTTGTTTCCAAGGGTCGGTAAACCTGAAACAAGTTTTTGTGTTTTTCTTGGTGTATATCTTTGCGCGATCCTAGGTATTTCATGACGTCCGATTATGAGTGTATAATCTGGAATCACTAAACTGAGCTTCCATTTTATGACTGAGACTTTTACTTTGTTAATATTTTATATTCTTCGTGTGCATAATTGGTAGTCATTAAATGTGATGATTCACTACAATCATTCAATTAATAATATAAATGAAACTTGGATAGACTGTGGAATTGACCTGGAACCTGTAATAGGGTAGGTTCTAGGTTCCAGGGTATGCACGGTAGGTTTCAGGTATCAAAAAATGAATAACCTATTCCAAAGGATAGGTTCCAGATTTCAGGTGAAACTTGTATGGAACCTAAAACCGCTAACCGTTAGTTTTTTTTATCCCCTCAAAATTGGCCTGATTCCATATAATGACAATAATTTGTTTGGGCAAACATGGGGCAAAAGTAAATAAAAAAATTCGAATGTGGTTGGAGAATTTCGATGCATGGGGGTCCAAAAGTCAATCAAATCCCAAGGAGAACAAGGAATGCACTTCACCATGAGAATCTCCGATTCATTAGCCTAATTGAAGCGTGCTATTGAAAGATGCCATTCAGGTTAGCAGCCGGCGCTCCAAGCTTGACATTTAATCTTCCCCGGGAAATGATATTTGGTCCCTCTTTCTCTTATGGTTGAGTTTTCTTTTTACCTTTTGTTTTATACAATACAATACAATACAGTACACCGTGCAATAACATTAGATTAAGAGAAAGGGGACTCGATTGCCTTAACTTACTGCAATGATATCGGCGTATTGCGGCTTAAGCTAATCACACATGCAAGGAATAACATATTAATCTTGTTTATTCCAAGTTACCAAACATCGAGGGAAGGTCAAAGTTATGCAGCAACCAATACCCAAAAAAATACCAACCAATCATAATATCACTTAGGTCGGTCTTCTCAATTCATGCATTCTTATAAAAAAATTAAAAGCATAATTGGTTTAGTTCGTAGGGACTTTGGCCTATATAACAATGGTCGACCCTCAACCACGTTCCGGACCCAGTTGAAACGCATTGCAGAAAAAGTCCCGGCGGAAGAGGAAGAGGAAGAGGAAGACCCGCCCAATACCCATCTCCGATCACGCATTAGTTGAGAGAAGGGAGTTATGGGGAACAGCCTGCGGTGTTGCTTGGCGTGCGTCCTTCCCTGCGGTGCTCTCGACTTGATCCGGATCGTCCACTTGAGCGGCTACGTCGAAGAGATAACACGTCCCATCACGGCCGGGGAGGTCCTGAAGGCGCACCCGAACCACGTCCTGAGCAAGCCATGCGCGCAAGGCGTGGTTCGCCGCATCCTTATACTCTCTCCCGACTCCGAGCTCAAGCGGGGCTCCATCTACTTCCTCATCCCCGCTTCTTCTCTTCCCCAAGATAAAAAGCGGGTGTCCTCCAAGACCAAAGCTCCCCGCAAGAAATCGCACCCTCACGGTGAAGACGTCCCCGACTGCGATCACCACCTTGCCATCTCCAAGAAGAAATCCTCCTCCTCCTCCCGTAGAGAGCGCCGGCACAGCCGCACCGACAGTGCTTGGAAGCCCCACCTCGAGAGCATCCACGAGGACTCATAACACATTAGACGTGTTATTTTTCGGTGAGAGGAGTTCTTGGTTTTTGCGGATACAAAGATTTTTCTGTCTTGTTGGTTCCGTCTGCGTGTAGTAATGGCAGATGGAGAAACGTTGGCTCGAAGATGAGTTGAAGCATCCCACAATGACGCAACAAGTCTTATGACAGAGATTCTACTTTTTGTACCGTTTGAACAACTTGTATATACATCCCAAGTTGTAAGTACAGGTTTTTACTGTCTTGTCTTTTTCTTCGCTGATGGAGAAGAAGAAAGATTTGGGCAGTCGGTTTTGTCTCTTCTGAAATATGAAGGATCACCTCTCTGAGTGACCTTTTGGTTCTCTGTATTTGTCAACGCGAGACGTTACTCAAACGAGCATGTGCTTCAGCTTCTTTGTGTTTCACGGGTACTGAGTGCCATACTTGACCTCTCGAATGGGGAAATCTAGTCTGTTAAGCGGTAAATTCTTTAGCTTGAAAGCATACTGAACGAAAGCATGTCACGGAAATATGAACCCTGAAATCTTAGCTACACAGACTCTGTAAAAACGTGGATTTTCCCTCTTGCCCAAGACCTCAAAATGATCAAATCCCGTCTCCTCCACCATCCCTTTAGTTATTTTGCTTTTGTGAGGCCTCTTTCCGTTTCCAGTAAACTGAGAAGACACCACATAAAATTACAGAAAAACTTGTGGTTTTCTGGGTTTCTCCGGGTTAAGATGCCAACAAGTTTTTTAAGGTCGGATCCTCCTAATCATTGACACAGTATTAGGTGCAATAATAGCCTATAGCTCTACCATGTTCCTCCATTATATACCTTTGTTAATCGATCAATCTCTGCCTCTGCGCCAGCTAATCAAAGAGGTAATATATAAGAAAGCTCCTCAACCCGATTCATTAACTACTTTGTAGGAAAGGACTACTATTATCATTTCATGAACCGTATTATAAGCGGCAGTTGTGCCTGCCATGACTATGCGGTTAACTGACATTAATATAAACCTATATGATATAAACAAGAGGCATCACGCATAATGTAGGTGGCAATAAGAGGAATTCATTAATTACTTCAGCTGGGTTGTTCCGATCGTGTAAAATCTATCCACCAAAACAAAGAAGAATCAGAGGAAAAAGACTTGAAAACTTTGAACAAACCATGCACAGGTGTCTCCATTACTTTTTTGTATTGAAATGGAGTTCTGAGATGGAGACAAGTGCAAGCAAACATAAAAATAAGAAGCAAACACAGCCTGGCATATCCCTTTTGACGCATATATTTCGGGTAACGCAGACTTCACATGGATTCCTTCCTTCAAGCTCCGTCCCTTAATTTTATATTAAAATGAGATTAGATTAGACAAACTATTCCACATCCCTCTCGCAATCTCCGCTGCCCATTTTCCTATTGCCAGGACCACATGTCACGGACACCTATATGTTCGATGCTATTTGGCTAGTTTCCTTCAGTCCAACGTCAAAAAACTACTAGGATTATTTCACTTCGCAAAATCTGATGATCTGATCGAATCATGATTCATTACAAGTTTGTATCCACCCGATGTGTCATGGGCACGTAAAAATGAACACCTTTTTCCCAAGCAACGAGCATCTGGAAGTGAGCAGATCCCCATGCAACTTTTGGCATTGAGCCTTGCGTACGACTCCCTTCTTTATCAACGAACCCAACCTAAAACAATTAGATCAAACAAAATAAGGAATCAAACAGATTCGATCGCTCTTCCCGGGGGTTAATTTTTAACAGGAAAAACTGAGGGTTTCATCGAGATGGTGAGATTGAGAATAGTTAATATATGTATTATTTGAATCCAAATTTTAAATGCAAAATTGATCTAAATGCGATAATCACGTGTCCAGATTAAGCTGTTTGCAGAATGTAGCGGTCAATCTTGTGTCAACAAAAAACCTTTTCACGTCCCAACTTAACTGCTAAAGTAACTGGGAGCGCTTAAAACGAAAATCTTCAACAGCTAGCGATGCGGAATACCTTCCTGAGCAGTGAAGAGAGGCTTTAATTAACCTGCTCATCCCTTCAAACCTAAAACAAGCTAGTGGCACCAAGACACACGTGGTGGCGTGGAGGCCAAGAGGCCTGTGGTCTGCGTGCATTCCGGCCCGTTTCGTCGGCCCACAATGACCGGACCGAATTGATGTTATCATGTAAGGGTAGGGAAAATTACCAAAAAAGTCTTAAACCTTTTGCAATTATGCCAATTCAGTTCTAAACCTTTTTTTTTTGCCAATTCAGTCCTAAACCTTTTGCAATTATGCCAATTCAGTCCATCCGGCCACTTTTGGCCGGCCGGCGCTGACGTGGACGCCGGCCGGCTGACGTGACAATTTTTAATAAATTTTTTTTTTTCGCCTATCTTCTTCCTCGGTCGCCGGTCTAGCGACCGGCGAGAGGCTGAGGCCGGCGAGGTCCAGCTCGCCGGTCATGGGCAAGGCTGGCCCTCGCCGTCGCCAAGCGAGGCCGACCTCGCCATGGCCAGGGCGAGGCCTCGCCGGGCGACGGCGAGGCCGCCCAGATCCGGCGAGACCTCGCCGTCGCCGGGGCGAGGTCGAGCTCGCCGGGCCATGGCGACGGCGAGGTCTCGCCGGATCCGGGCGGCCTCGGCGTCGCCGGCGAGGCCTCGCCCAGATCTAGCGAGGTCGACCTCGCCCATGGCCGGCGTTTGGACCTCGCGGCCTCGGCCTCTTGCGGTCGCCGGACCGGCGGCCGGGAAGAAGATAGGCGAGAGGCTGAGGCCGGCGAGGTACAGCTCGCTGGCCATGGGTGAGGCTAGCCCTCGCCGGCACTGGCGAGGGCCAGCCTCGCCGTCGCCGGGCGAGGCCGCCCAGATCTGGCGAGACCTCGCCGTCGCCGGGCGAGGTCGAGCTCGCCAAGCCATGGCGACGGCGAGGTCTCACCAGATCTGGGCGGCCTCGACGTCGCCGAGCGAGGCCTCGCCCAGATCTAGCGAGGTCGACCTCGCCCTGGCCATGGCGAGGTCGACCTCGCCCATGGCCGGCGAGCTGGACCTCGCCGGCCTCAGCCTCTTGCCGGTCGCCGGTCCGGCGACCGGGGAAGAAGATAGGCGAAAAAAAAAAAGAGAAAAAAAAAATATTAAAAATTGCCACGTCAGTCGGCCGGCGTCCACGTCAGCGCCGGCCGGCCAAAAGTGGCCGGATGGACTGAATTGGCACAATTGCAAAAGGTTTATGACTGAATTAGCACAATTGCAAAAAGTTTAGAACTTTTTTGGTAATTTTCCCTGTAAGGGTACGTCTTTCATTATGATCTGAAGGCATTGATTATATGTTTAGAGCCCTTGACTGACTGCCGGCATGGCTTCACATCGGACAAGGCACGGGAACAGAGCTCTCTAAGGTGAAGGACAAACATAGATGTAGGGCTGCCGTTCGAGGGGTTGGAGGCTTCAACAAGGTTGATTGTTGGGTGAACATGCTCTTCACTGTGGATGCATGTTGACACTCCGGAAATCGAGGTTTTGCTGGTCGAGATCATTCCCCTTCGGTTAGCGGCCATGTATCTTTTGGAAGGGTTATAAAGATGTCCCACGACACTCGCGGCTACTCTGGTTATCGCCACCATATTTACTATCAAAAGAGAATAATCTGCGCGCCTATCACCTACAGAACAAAATAAGGCAAGTTGTTGCTAACTACTCAAACGCGCGCTAACTTAAAAGCCTTCAATATTAAATGGACATGCTTTCACATCTTTCACTCAGACCCTTTTACCAGACCATGATACTAATGCAGATCGTTGTAAGCACCTTCTTCTCTCTAAACCAGATACAAACTCTCGAGCATTTGCACCAAAATTGGACCTAAGGGTGGACCATCTGGCAAGATCAAGACTAAGAAGAAGGCTCGTAGGACGCATGCTGGCCAAGGTATTCGCTACTAAAACCAGATGCAAAAAAGGTACAGAGGATGAGTACAAAGTGAGATTCCGGCATTGACTTCTTCTCTTAGGATTTCTTATTTACGATCCTTATAACAAATGGTCGTACTAGGAAGAATAGGACCCAATAAAAAAAAAGGTGGCGGTGAATGCAAATATTGGTTACACTATGGAGCTTTGCAAAACTGCACCGATGTTGGATGAAACAAAGCGTGTCAACGAGGAAAGTGCAGCACAGACGAAGGCAGTGGAGGACGCAAGCGACCCAACTCTGCATTGATGATCTTAAGATTGTAAAGGAGAGTAAAATGGCAACAAAGGAAGTCATCGAATTCATTGGAATGAGTAAGCAAACATGAGCTCCCAGTCTAGTGTGGAAAGGGCTCATCTTATTTATGATGGCCAATGTGAGGCCAAATAACACAAAAAGAATCAAAGTACCGGGGAGAGCTATCAGGAGGGGTTTTCTCTGGATGCTCCTCCACATTCTCGGATCCACATGAACTCCTACCGGGAACATGTGTAACATGAAGCCAAATCAGCTAAGGTTCTTAGGATTAATTTGTCTCCAGGTTTCAGTAGTGACTACGTAAACCACCTGTTTCAACCAAGAAACGAGGGACCCATACTATGCTTGAGTGCCTATCACAAAGAAGGAGAAAAAGAAAAGGCGACCATGTGATCAGTCTCCATAGGACAATTTATCGGGAGAAGTACAAAATTGTCCAATACGATTATATGTAATCTCGGCAACAGGGTTTCGTGAAAGCTTTTTTCTTTTTTCCGGTTTTTTTGACTGCAAGCTCATACCTTCTGCTATAGACGACCAGATGTGAATAATGTCTTGCAAAGAATCTGACCAAAATGCAAGCAAAGTAATGGAAGCATGGGGATAGAGAGAAGAAGGTGCTTACAACGATCTGCACCAGGATCATTGTCTGGTGAAAGGGTCGGAGTAAAAGATGAATCACCTGAGCAATGATGTAAATGAGGGAAAATTGGGCCATCAAGACAGCGAAAGAGGAAGTCAGACACCGGCGGGTGGCCCCACGGTCACATGTTGGTACGCAAGTCTCTCGTTCTCTTCTGTGCCCATTGAGTGTGCCTTTGCCATCCTCTGTTGTTCCGCAGAATTCTCCATGTATGTCCCCGTGCTTCTTTTTGAGAAAGCGAACTTAATTTGTTAAAATTGGAGACGCCCAATTGACTGGGTCTTTGCAAATTGCAGAGTGCTTTAGAAGAGAGAGAGAGAGAGAATTTTGGCATTTGATGGATGAGAGACATGGATGGACTCCAACGGTTGCCATTAGCTAATGCCATCGTCAGTCTAGAAGGAGCGGCCATGTCCATTAACAATTTGGTAATTAGTCATGCATGGATGAATATTGAGGGAACATGAACAGGTGATTCTCTGATGCTTTTAGCATGAAAGGGAGAAAATGTCCACCCTCACAACAATGCACACACATTGAATTAAGTGGGTTTTCAACAAAGACCTGAGCCTCTGTACATATGTTACCTGGGTCACATTTCAGTTTCTGTAACCCTAGTATTGCTCATGCATTATCAACTTGCGGTATCTTTTACACCATCGCCGTATCCGTAGCCGCATCATAATCATTTTACATTGGCGATATCTCTTTTGCGAGCATTATAGCATAAGTATGTTCTTGTGGAAAGATTGTGGGGACGGAGCAAGACGGGAAGTTGGAGAATCATCTCTGTATTGTGTTTGACAGGTCGAAAACAAAAGAAAGTCCTATTGAAATTATCTGAAAAATGCATTTACTGTACATCTACTATTTCATCTCCGTCGCCTCTATCTCTCCCCAACTCTACAACTTTATTCTTCTCAACCGAGTAGACTCTTCAGGGTCACGCAGTCCCCATACTTTAGTTTGCTGTTGCACTACCAATATCAAAGATCCGCATCTAAAATTCGCGGTCACAAGAATGTCCCCAATCATTCCCATATCTGCGTTCTCGCTGCACTTCCTTACTTCTTGCATCAGTGTCGACTCTCCATGGCGTCTCCCGACCAGAACAAGGTCATAACCATTTTCCATACATCTTAACACTTGAATCACATCCGACGCGTCCATTACCTCCTCCTCTTGGTAAGAAACCCGTTCGTATCTTTGGGCGTTGCTCCTGAAATCCTTCAAGATATCACCATCAAGCATTTTGCTCCTCGCTGTGCCCCCTACTATATCCATTGAGCTGGAAAATCTTATGAGAGTAAGTAGTACACTTGGGTGTTGCGACATTCGTCCGGCATATGCTAGTGCCTCTCTATCGTCCGCACCCCCGAAGAAGAGCACGGCGACTCTGTAATAGGAAGACTCCGCATAGTACTTCTTCCTACTGCTGTGCTCTATCAAAATGCCGACTGAGCAAGGCGCCTTCTCCAGTACATTTTTGTTCAGTTGCCGAAAAGCATGACTCGTCTCTACTCTTCCCCAAGGCTTCCACTGCTTATGGAAAGGAATGATTACAAGGGTGATCCTCTTCTCTAAAGCTAGGGAACACACATCGTTGTGCATTGTTGAATAGGGCGAAACTCCCTTGTAGCAATGCACCATTAGACTGCCTTGATTTTTCTTCTCGAAATTCCTGAATACGCCAAAGATGCGCTCAGACTCAGTAGGGCTATCGGAGGACTTCTCACGAGGCGGGTGTGCAATCAGAAGGGATGAAGCACGACCGACAAGTTTGACAAGGTGGAGGACACATAAACTGATGGGGCTCTCTTTCGTGGGGTTCGAGGTGTAGAGGATGCTCAAAGTCGCTTGCATGTTCTCTTCGTTGTGGATGCAAGCTAGAATGCGCAATCCTTCATTATGCCTGTTATGCAGTATAGTCCTCCTCTTGTAGGCGACAAATCTCCTTGAAGGATCATATAGAAGCTTAACAATGGGAGAGATAACTCCTGTTACAACCACCACAGAGATAATCGTGATGGCGAAGCATTCTTCATTCATGACCTGCACACCGATTGTCATTTAAGAAAACAAGGCAATGGCCTATATCAAAGTCTCATTAACATCTAATGAACATGATTACAGCTGCACGCCTTTTTCTGCCGGGAAAATGTGAAGATTATGTCCCATATGCAAACTACTGTTCATTATAACAATAAAGAAGGCGAAGCAATTGGTGTCCCTATTTATATGGAGGGAAAAAAGGACTTACATTGGTCATCCTCCAGTTATTCAACATAGCAAGTTCTACAATGCCTTTCGAATTCATTATAAGACCAAGAGACAGGGCGTCTCTAATTGGCATCCTCAAGAAGAGTGGGGGCAATGCCGTCCCTACAAGCTTACCAACAAAAGCAACAAGAACAATTGATTGAATGACGCCGACATTCTTTAGAGATTTTATGGCAAAGACATCCATTTTTAGTCCACTTGTGGTGAAGAACGCGGGCATTAGCAGCATTGAAACAAAACAGTCGAGCCTCTCCACTAATGTAGCTCCCAAGGGTGGTCCATCTGGTATTACCAGACCCAGAAGAAAGGATGCCAGAAAGGCACTTAAACCAATTGTTTCTGCAATGAACCCACAAGAAAGAAGGGCAACAACAACTGCAGAAATATATCTCTCTTTCACAGGTTTGCCTTCTGGAGTGCGTTGGATTGCCCACAAGGCAGCCGGACGAATTCCAAACACAATGAAACTCACGAGCAGCACCATTGAGAAGAAGGATCCAAAAGAGGTTCTCAATGATTTTGTGGTGGCTAAGTGCACCACATACTTGACTGTCATAATGGACCAATGACAAACATCACAGATTAATGAAGATGCGGATGCTAGGCGTCCGATTTCTGAGTTGAGTATCTTGAGCTCGGCGAGAAAGCAAGCAATAACTGGAAAGGCCGCCATGGAATGCATAGATACCAGTGAGGGAAGCACCTTGGCTACGTCGTAATCCAAACTCAGGAAATGGTTGAGCATGAATGCTGTGAAGCCACTCAATGCGTATGGAAGAAAGAAGCCTAGGAATCCAATGGCTAATGTCCTTTTACCTGATTTCAGCACGATGGAAGGATCGGTCTTAACACCGATTAGGAAGATGAAGAGCATGAAACCGAACAGCGCGAATGTGTCAAAGACACCTTTTCCTTTAGCTGGAAATACGCTAGATGCAAACATCGAGCTGCGCCCGAGAATTGAAGGACCTAGGATGACGCCACCCTAGAGGAAGTAAATCATCAATCACAATAAATTCAGAGCGTACATTCATCATAGCGTAAATGCAAGTACTACTTCTGACGTTTGTGAAAAAGAACAAGAAAGCAAAGCAGGACATTATGGTCGAGGTAATTCTTAACAGAGGGAAAGTTAAAGAGGCAAAACAATGACGCAGATCTTCTCTGCCTCTCTTTTGTCCTTGGGCAAAGAGCAGAAAGAAAAAAGAGACTGGAACATCCAATCAAAGCTAAGAAGCTAAAAGAAGAAAAAATCCAGGATGAGATGATAATAAAGGGAAAACACGGAAGCTTACGAGAATATGAGAAACAATGGAGGGTTGGCCAAAGGGCTTGAGAAGACAATAGAGGGAACGAGTGAAGATGGAGATGAGAGAGAGCTGCATCATGAGGAGAGGGACGGAGAATGCAAAAGGGTCATCTCCAAACCAAATTCCCCTGGAGTTGATCTGACCAACAATTTGACACGTGTAAGATACCCCATCGTCGTCCTGATCATCATCGCCATCTTGCTGGTCAGCCAGTTTTCCCAGGAATTGAACCGCCAATCTCCTACCAAACTCCCTTCGTATCATGTTCCTGGCGACAATGGTGGGAGGAAAAATGTTAGGAATGTTTGAGAAATCTGCAGAAGTGATTGGAGAAGGAGAAACGTTTCTTTGAACGGATGGAGAGAGAGAGAGAGAGAGAGAGAGAGAGAGAGAGAGAGAGGGTGAGTCATATTGAAGGCAACTAATTATAAGCAACGTAATGTCACGTCCTCCAATGCACTCTCGCGGTCGGAAAACAGTCCCCCGCATTTGATCAAACGACTACGACGGTCAATGTCATAACCTTACTCAGGAATTCTGCTTGTAAATATAAATTCATCTAAAGTTGCTCGTTCGATGAGTTTTGTCTATCCGTTAGGACAAGGGGCTTAACATCTCTCCAATCCGGGAAAGTTCCTCCGGACACTCATGTCAAACATGTTACGGATCGATGTGGTAAGTGGTCCTATATATCAAAGTTTCACTTCTTATATCAAAAGCATGATTGTCTTATTTAAGTGGGTCTGCCGCCCGCAAACATGATGTTCTTGCCCTCTACACAACACTGTAGAGAAGCAAGAATCAATCTTGCTGTGTTTTCTAACGTTCTATTTGCTTGGACGAAGAAACTCGAAGAGATTCAGGCTCCGTTTGCTTCACGAAAAATAAATAATTAGAAAACATTTTTAAAAAATGATAGTTTCTATCGCTTGAAATAATTAACCGATATAAAATAATTTAATTATCGACAACAATATAAACAATCGTTTTTAAGAAAATGTTTTTCAAATTATTCATTTTCCACGTAACAAACGAAACCTAAGGCTGCATTTGGTTATACTTTTGGGGAAAGCCTTTTGGGAAATGCAAAGGATTTTAGATTAAATGGGTTTTGTGAAATGCAAATAGTGTTCGGAAAAAAGTAATTTAAAAGTGTATTGGGAAGCAACTTTAATTTTAATATTATTTGGAACCAACTATAATTGGAAAAGAACTTTTGCTAATTAAAATAAGTAATAATAAACTCAAACCTCCTTCGCTGGAGGTCTCAAGTCACTGGTGAACCAAATATGGCCAAATCTGGCACTAGCGGCCCTCCCCTCAGATTGTATAACCTCAGGCGACTGTCATCCAAGACCAGGCCACCTCACCTAAGGTCGTGTGAACTTAGGTAAGGCTCGCCGGTGATCAGATCTAGCGTCACCGACAACGTCGCACGAGGTGGTCGATGGTGAGGGGTGAGGGCATTTTTGGAATTTCGAAAACTTAGCGATGACAAATTTGGAAAAAGAAAATGTATTAGCATTCCGAAAATACTATAGACCAAAGGTCCTACAGGCCTACTTTGGGCTAAGAGACTTCAGAGGACTTTGGAAATGCAATGCATTTTACCAAAAATCTCTTTAAAAAAAAATTGCCAAATGCTAAGGCATTTGTCCAAGGGCTTTTAAAGGCCCAAATCCGACCCAAAAAAAAAAGGCCCAAAGAGCTTTAGGAAAACCAATTCCCAAACGCAGCCGAAAAGAATTTCAATAATCTAGCTATGGAGACGAGACATACAAATTCTAAATAATCTAATAAACTCTCCCACGCAATGTATAAAAAGAGGAAAGGGTGCTTTCAAAATCATCCATTTCAACCATTAATGGAACCAAGTCGTTGCCAAGACCCACAAATGGGTCCACTCCAAGTCTAGTCTCAGTTCATTCCTCCTTTCCAACGAGAGAAGCATACAAACAAGCAGTGGGTGCAAAGGCGAACTCTCCTCCATCATTTGGATTCGATCCATCGTGACAAGAGAAGGCGGAATGACACCATCCAACTTTGAGTACCCCTGTTCTCTATTCTTGTGCCCATATTTTATATCCCACTTGACACCAAGATCCGAAATATAATTCATTTAAAACCATGTCAATTTACGGTCAATGAGGTGCTGCTTAGGGGTAAGCATTTGAACCGATCCGGTGGGAACCTCTCTGGTTTCAGGGTATGCAGGATAAGTTTCAAGTTTTGAAATTAGGTAAGCGATTTCAACGGGTAAGTTCTAGGTTCTAAAAACCTGAAACAAGTCTTTGTGTTTTTCTTGTTTAATGTCTTCGCGTAATCATGCGGTATTTCATGATGTCCGATGATGAGTATGTAATCTGGAACCACTAGTTTGTGCTTTCATTTCCAGCGATATCCATGACAAAGACTTTTGCTTTGTTAATATTTCGTATTCTTCGTGTGTTTAAATATGAGTAGTGATTTGTGGATTGTAACAGCAAATGGTGATCATTAGAGGTAATGATTTACTATAATCGTTCAATTAAAAATACATGTGAAATCTAGATAGATCTTGAAACCTGTGACAGTATAGGTTCTAAATTCCAAGAAATGATCTGATAAGTAGGTTTCGAGTAGTAGGCGGAACTTGTAAACAGCCTGAAATCGCTCGCCCCTAATGCTGCCGGTCGTAGCCCGCTTCCCGCAAGGTGGATCCAAGTCCGCGAAAAAGGGAAATGATAATAATATACGTGCTAGCTGAAAACGGAAAATGAAGGGACTAATGGGTGGGTGAATAAGATAAGGAGGGGTTTGGGCATTGTTAGCTGTTGGGCCCGGGAGTGGGTGGTTGGCCTTTAAGGGGACCATTCCATTTAGTTATTTGGATGGTATTGGTGGCCCCACCGAGTCTATCGATATTTCTCTCTCTCTCGTCAGTTTAAACTTTACTATACTGACTTGTACCACAGATGGAAAAGAAAAAACGAGGTCCTTCTGCTATAGTAGTAGTAACTAATAAGCCGTACGCAATAAGTGTGAAACCTGAGACCTTGTAACAAAAATGAACGATGTTCACGAACTTTAACTAGCGGTGGGAATAATTTGTCCGTCCCATCGAAAGAGAAGAAGAGAGAAACCACGCCTTTTTGACTTGGGGAAATCCTTTGCACGAATCTGTCCCGATGATGATCTCGACACGATTGCATGAGACGAGAATCACGTGATGGATTTAGCTGAGATTTATCACCATCTGACGAGCCCCTCCCTCCCTCCCTCCCTCCCGCACAAGAATTTTTCAATTTGACTCGTGCTTCTTCTACTCTATACTAATAAATGCGTACTATTCATACATCTCCTTGGGCTTATGGAGATGAGATGGAGCTTCCAACCCCCACCCACCATCGCCATCGCCATCGCCATCGCCATCTAGAAACTCTCTCGTACACGACAGTTTGTCATGCCACACACGGTTGACCCAAGACCAACTTACGCTGCAAGTAATCCCTCTCCCTCTCCCACCCACAAGCTCCCATCTCTGACTTTTTCAAACCATGGACCGATAAAGATATTCCTACGCGCTTTTCGTGACGAAATCCAAACCCCTCCGCCCTTTTTTTCTCCGTCTTGCCCAATGAAATCAACCCCGTTCCCATCGAGTACGTCTCTTTGAACCAAAACAATCCCACCTTTTTTATTTTTCCTTCTTTTTTCTTGTTTTTATATGGGATAGAGCTATGGTGCCGCAAGTTATTTCTGATATTCGTTTTCAATTCATAAGCTGAGATATACAAGAGAACAATCCAACCCTCTCCAAGAAAAAAAGAGAAAAAGAAAAATTATCCATTCATATCCCAATTCTCCTCCTCCTATATCTTACCTTATACAAGTGTTGTTTTTCTTGTTTTTTGGGGGGGTCAAAGAACAAAACATACATACGTATCCCCTATTCCTGGAGTTCTACAACCAACAAACAGAATGTGTAATAAATCAAATGAACCACTGATCTCCTCCTTCCAGTTTTCAACAGTCTAGGATTTACCCTGATCCTGACCTTGAGTAGCAAAAAGATCTTCAAAAATTTCGGCATAGCAAAGAGTCCAGGAACATGTCATCCCTCGGTTCCTCCTTGGCTCTAGAGAATATGTTGTCGGTGTTCGGAGACTGATTCAGGAAAGAGCCCAGAGAACTCCCGAGTCCTGGAAATCCAAAGCTCCCGGGACTCTGTAGCATCTCCAGCATGAATGGCGATGCTTGCCCTTCCGACGACGATACCCTATAGTTACTGCTAGGAACACTCTGCCCATTGTCGTTCGAATGGTTGGTTAAGGCCAATGGCCTGATCGATGCGGCCGAACCGTTGTTGCCATTGCTGTTGTCCAGCATGGGCAAAGGCCTATTGGCACCGCCGCTCCCGCGGGCTGCAGGAACATCGTGGTTATGCTTTCCTTCGTAAGTAGTGATCACCGCCCTCATATCATGGGATGCTCTCTCCACGTGCTTGCGCACCGGACAGCCTGGACTGGTGCACTTGTAGTAGCTCCTACATGCGACATCAATGAACAACAAAGATCAGAAAAAAAAAAAAAAAAAAGGATTCGCCTTCGCTCGAAAACCATGGAATGAATGGCATCTAATTATACTATAACTGGAATTTTATAGACCAAATGTTCGTAAACGGAGAGTCTATTAGGCTACATCACGAATCAATAACGAACAGTTCAAATTTACGGCAATTTCGTGTACCTTGGATTGGGGTTTCCTTTGACCACCTTCTGCCCATATTTCCTCCATCGATATCCATCATCAAGAATATCAATGTCACTGGTGGTTTGGACTACTACTCTGGGTTCTCTCACCGTTCTGTTCCCAGGAGCTAAAATCCCATCATTCTCACCTTCTTGCTTCCTAGAAAGGCCCATGATTAAGGAATGAAATGAATCAGGGACCGTCGTGGAGCAGATTAACACCATCCAATTGTGGCATAACAAATTTCAATTTGCAAACACAAACTAACAGAGCTCCATCCAGCCAGGAACTTACCATCTTTTGGCATCCGGTTCGTCTTCGTCCAACTCTTCCCCTGCCGATTTACTTTTCTGAGAGCCCTGATCATATTCGTCATCGGCGATCGAGAGGGAAGAGTTTTCTGGGGTTGCGGAGTCTACTTGCAAGGAGCCATGCGCGGAAAAAGCATGGTCATTGATTTCAGGGGCGGCGGGATTATAGGCCTGGATTGCTTGAGACGGCACGGAGGAGGCGGAGGATGCCGACGATCTCCGGGTGGACTGAGGCTTTGGGTGGTTATGGTTTCCCTTGTAGACAATCTCGGTAATCTGGCCATCCAGAGACCTCTCGACCTTCTTCTTGGTAGGGCAATTAGGATGAGTGCACTTGTAATAGCTTCTTGGGTTTTCACTCCCCTTCACTTGCTTCTGGCCATATTTCCTCCAGTTGTAGCCATCGTCTGATCTTCTCTGCTCTCGGATGGACTGAGACTGAGATTGAGAATTGTCGTAATCGGGTCGGTGATCGGTGTTGGTCTGGATGGTGGCGATCTCAGGGGAGAAGCTCTGGAATGGATTGAGTTCGGATTTCACCGTGCTCTCGTCAGAAGGACGGGAATCATCTTGTTTGGTGGAGCTCCACGCTAGCTGCTGCTGCTGCTGCAAAATTCAGACAACAACTCTGAGCGACGATCGCAAACAAACGAAAGAGGGATGAGCATATAAGAAAAGCGTAGACATACATGCTGCCTGGCGTTGGTCTGCAAAGTGAAGCTAGAGCCATTTGCGTCTTCCCTTTTAGGGATCTGCTGGTAACTGTCAGGGGACTTGATCTTCCAATTGAAGGAGGATTGAAGCGGGAAAGCTCCAGTGGTTGGGGAGGGCAAAATCTGCATCCACCATCCAAAAAGAAAACAGAGAATGAGCCACAGCAAACATGAACAAGGAAGACAAAACCGCGGAAATGAATGGATTTCAAGGCGAATCCGGTGGGGAGACAGACACGCGAAAAGAGAGAGAGAGAGAGAGAGAGAGAGAGAGAGAGAAGAGAGAAGGGGAGATACGTTGGAAGCGTTGAGGAGAACAGGGGAGTCCAAGAGCTCGGCAGGGCTGAGGCCAGGCGGGATGGCGAAGAAAGAAGAAGAGAGCGGGGAGATGGGGATGGAGGGCGGGGGGATGGACTTGAACTTGGGCACGCCGGACCCACGGCGAGGGTCGTCCTCCAGCTCGGAGGCGAGGAGGGATGAGAAGGAGAAGGAGTTCGCTCGAGGGTCCAAGCTCCCCGCGCTGCCGGCCGACGGTGAGGCCATCGCTTCGACAAGGAGAAGAAAAACAGGGGAAAACCAAAGTGGGCTCTGTTATGTTCTGTTCTGTTCTCCGAGAGACAGAGAGAGAAAGATAGAGAATTGACGAGGGGGAGTATCAATTATGGAGGCAGCGAGCGAGGGATGGAGGGAAGAAGAAGAGAAGATGGTCACGTATTGCGCAAGGCTTTGCTTTTGCCCTTTGGCCACCCACTGGCCGTACACGACGAGGCATCTTCTTCGAAGCTCGATGGCACGAAAAAACAAAACCAAAAACAAAGAAAAAAAACAAAGGGGAAATGTTGTGGTCAAACCTCGTGGGTTTGACCGAATGGCGGCTGACGACGCTGTGGGTGTCAATCTCTCTCTCTCTCTCTCTCTCTCTCTCTCTCTCTCTCTCTCTCTATGGTTTATCTCGTAAAATTCCGATTACCATGTGACGCGACGCGACGCGCCCCTTCAATCTGCTACAATCGACAAAATATCATCAGACCTTAAGGTCTCGTGTCGATTTCTCCCCGAGAAAAGCCCACAAACCACCATATAAAAAAAATGGTAGAAAAATGATGCGGAATGCAATATTCTTGAGGATGTGCACTTTGAGGATAGGATGCATCAAATGCGAACCCTTTTTAAGAAAAAGAAGGTATCGCAACCTCCGTGCATTCCCATCTTCGCCAGTTTGAAACAAACAGTATTCCCCCAGTTCCGTGGAATTCGCATCGGCAGTGGGCGACGCTCGTTCCCGTGTGCCACCATTTTTCCCCCATTTTTGTCAAGCACGTGATGAATGAATCATTGAAGGGTAGAGGAAAAAGGCCTCGGTTTCCCCATGTCTTAACTATTCCTGATAATCCAAGTCCAAACATGCTTCGCCCTGTAACATGCCAAGCGCCCGACTTCCCACCTCATCTTATCCCCGCGCCGCAAATCTAATTACGGTCCAATTCCGTTATCAAAGCCCAAACCACACCATGCCGGTCCCGTCATTTGACCATACCCTGTTGGTTTTAGCTACAAAGTGTGCGCACGTCAAAACCCAAACCGACCAGCAATCTAAAAGATTAGCAAAGATTTTATCACATGGAGGCGGCGCTGTGTTCGGATGGAACTCCGGTATATATATCCTTATCCTTATTTCGAAGGTGAGATATCTACACCAGCACCACACCACACACGAAATTTTACTCCTTCTACAGACCCATGTACGGTTAACCTCCAAATATGCTGTCTGACAACTCCCGTTGTGGCAAAATTCAAGCATTTATCTGCGATCGGACAGATAAGGAGGACGACCATGGTTACATTTTAACATTTCTGCATAAGTTCTTCGAAAGGGTAACAACTGAGTTCCTCAACGGAGCTCCTTTCTACAACACAAAGGACATCATTTGATACTGACTTCAAAAAAAAAAAAAAGACTGACATGAAACGATCCCTTCTACTCTCCTCATTCTACAATTTATCCCTTCTTCAATGGGAAGCAGATCCCCTGACTAATTACACACGGTATGCACCAAAATCCAAACTGTAGCGAGTTCTGAGAAGATAAACACAAACTCAATCTAGAAGTGGGCCTAACACCCTTACTTTTTAGCAAAATTGATGGCCATGGGGTTCTGAGCAGTGATTTTGAAGCCCTGAAGGTGCTGCATGGCCATGCCAGCCTGGACGTCGTCTTCATACTCTACGAAAGCAATACCAGGCTTTGCTTCAACCATTCTCACTTCCTTAAATCCTGGATATTGCACAAAGAGCAACTGCAACATCTGGCTTGTTGTTTCAACAGGCAAATTCTGAACAAACAATATATTATTTGGCGCTGTTTCTTGTGAACCGGCAGTTCCAGGTCGATAAGAGGCCTGCATAGAAGAAAAAAGGAGAACATAATGCATTCCCTCGTGACATATTGCTAGCTGATTACCAACACATTGATCCTGCTTGAAAACTACTGAGCCTACATAGATAAACAAAAAGCTATCATAACCATTAAGTAGAGAGAACTTACCGTTGGCCCCCCATTAGCTTCAGCAGCGGAACCATTGGCCGTTTGTGTGTCTTCAGCACGGCGCTTTCTTTCAGCTGGAGAACCACAATAAGGTCAACAATAGACAAATGTATGATCGAGAATAGAAAAATATCAATTGCTTGGACAATTGTAAACTAAGTTGAGATCATGAAACCTACTATCTGAAAGTCAAACATAGGACCTTGAAATCAGTCAATACAAGGAAGAGAAAAGACGGGAACGTGCAAGGCTACAAAACTGGGGTGCTTAATAGTAGGTCCACATGCATAAGCATACCTACACTTTGAATGCACACACATGCACATCTTGCCATTCTTTATATGGCCAATAAAGAATGATGATTGCAGAAGGCAGTGCAATCCCATTTAGTGTCATAAGCAATGTTTTGATGGCCATAAATCAAAACAAACATGCTCGATTTGCCAATGATACCAAATACAGAACTTGCAAATGAATTTCTAATGAAAAAAATGCATCAACACAAAAAAGGGAGCATTATAAAAAGCATCTTAAACTTTCAATTTGGCTTAAGGTCACACCTCTAATTAAAAAAATGTCAACTAAGCAGCTGAAAAAAGAGACAAGGTGAAATCTGCAGTGGGCAACCATGCATAAAAATACTATTGCACAACCGCGATGGCCACTATCATTGGCAAAAAAAGCAGAATAATCGGTGGATCAACAAATCATTGACAATGAAGGTGAAGCTAAGTGTGCAACCATTTATTCGAAAAGCTTAAGCTGTTAGAGAATGATGTGAAATATTATTATATCTCAACACTCTCCCTCACACAAAGGTTGGTAGTATGACAAGCCCTTAAGCATTAAATCTGAAACGTGTGGGTAAAATAATTCTTAGACACAAAGGGTAACCAATAACTGGCTGATGGGGTTGTGAGAAACTGAAATACCGAGCGAAGTGGAGTGGGCAACTATTTGATCTCAAAGTTTAAGCTTTTAGAGATCAGTTTGAAAGTCATTTTTATCTCAACAAGCAACATCATAGAGAGCCCATCGGGTAACTACACTAAAAAAGCACAAAGTGAGTAAAATGTAGGCCTTCAAACTTTAGATTTGCACTGTAAAGATATAAATACAAAAATTTAGTTCAGAATACATTCTCTCACCTTTTTCTTCTTGCTTCTTCTTCTTTTCTCTCATGACGTAGGTACCATCTGCTTTAGCAATGCAATCAGACTTTTCTTTGGCATATTGTATTCTCTGCAGCAGTATGATGATTACAAATTTCTATATCAAATTGATAGGGAAAAAAACCAAAAATGGGTGACCAAATTTACACATCCAAGCAAAGGAAAACTTTCCATGGGATGTTTATTACAGTTGTGACCGTTAAGGTAGGATGTCTTACTTCTGCATCACATGAAGTAACAGGAAAATGCAGAAATAAAATTAAATTTAGAAAAATAAACATTAAGGGAAAGGAATCATTCAAGTTTGAGGATTTCAATGAAACTACAGAACCAAAACAAAGAAAACACGCTTCTTGAGTGGAACTAATCCATTCGCTATCCTTCTATAATAATTCTAACGGTAGATAAAACTCCACTTGTTTGCATGATGGGATATGAAGGTGGCCAGCCTCAGCATAACAATCGCTTCCCTATATAGTCCATAACCAGGAATGACATTAGCATCGGATGCTACAGAATTAGTTGCTAAAGACTAAGACAGTTTCAATGTGTACGGGATCCACATCACCAAGTTTCAGCCAAAAGGAAATGCCAGGGTCAGCTACCTGTTTACTTCTTTATCTGGGTTATGGACCAGCTACGAAGCGGAAACTTACTCAGGACTGCCTTATGGTATGATTCATGTAGTTGATGTATAAAGTAATCCAAATTTAGAGTCTGAGTCTAGCAAAGAAAAGTTTTTGCACAAGGAAAAAGAGAAGGGCATGGCATTTTCTCCTTTTTTGCAAATAAAAGCAACCGGCAACCAATTTTTGCCATGTTACTTTTAGTTGTTAATGAGCAATGCTGATATTACTCTCTGAACAACAAAATCTGGCAAGGAAGAGCTGAAACCTGAAACGTCCTACACTGAAAATTCGCTAAAAAAAGGGGATGTGTCATCAAACAGCTAGGTTGCTAATGGTTCCTAAGCATCTCAAGCAACATGCAAGAATGTGCAAGATGTTGATGCAAAACCCTTATATCTGTAGAAAATAAGAAAATAAAGTAAAGCTCCGACAGGATGTGCAATGACAATACCATAGGCTTATCATAGAATGGGAAGTTCTGCATTTGGCGCACGGCATTACTGGCAGCAGTCACTTCACTGAAAGCGACCCATGCTTGTCCTCTAAGCTTTGGGGTCTTCAGGGCTACAACATCCAGAATTCTTCCATACTGAGAGAAGAGGCAATAAAGGGATCTCTTCAATTCTGCCAAAGCAAACAAAGACCGATTACCAAAATTGAGCAAACACATGGTGTTAATTAATTTGTTAAACACGCAGTCGGAATGATCGAATGTCATACATTTAAAATCTAGAAAGCTTATTCCGAGTCAATTGAAAAGTAAACTCCTTTTGATAGATTTTAAACATTCATCCCCAGTCAAATAACTTTCATCTGGTCTACCCCCATCGTGATTCTTGAACATTCCGAAGCAACTAACCTAATATGTTGTCTTCTACCCTGGAACCGCCGTATCCACTAAATGATCATTAGGGCAATGAGGTGACATCATTCTGTCGCTCAGGATGTCACCATGAGGCTATAACAGAAATTACAAAGCTCAACTAAACTAGCAGTGACAACAGACCCGGCCAAGCTGAAAAGAAGTCGATCAATTTAAGAATTCAAACCAGTTTTAAGCACGAGGAGAGCACGTAGCCGCGTTCAGGCATCCTACACAGTCAGTTCGATCTGCAGGAAACAATACAGCGAGAAGAAGAGGATGGGCTCAGAATGGGTCACCTTCTTTCTTGACCTTTTCGTTAAGATTCTTTATGTATATGGTTTGATTCGGCGGTATGTCCCCCGAAAGCATCGTCCCTAGCAATCGAGAGAAGCCTGTGGAGAATGACCGTCGCTGAGCAGGAGCCAGCACAAGCACAAGCACAAGCACAGATAAGAGAGACAGGGACAGAGAAGAGAGAAGGCAGAGAGAGAGAGAGCCCTAGCAAGCAAAAATGGCGGAGCTGACGGATGCTGCTGGGCTTGTAAAGCATTTCGCTTTACGGGCTTAGCTGCTCGGGCCCGAATACAAGAGGCCCTCCTCTGTCTCCGCACCCAAATCCAACACGAGAGAGAAGGCAACGGAGCGATTCGTCTCCGCCCTGAACCCTGAACCCTGCCCTCCTCCTCCTCCATCGAGCAGCTCAAAGGCGGAGAAATGCTGCGGTCCATTCTCAGAGCCTCGACCGCCACCGCGACGTCGAAATGTCGCCGCCCGTTCGACCCCATCCCCCCTCCGAAACGCGCGGCCGTGCTTCAATCGTGCCTCAGCTTGTCGACGAAGAACACCAAGCTGGCGGTGACCAAAGCCAACAAGAAGGCTAAATCCAAAGGCGGTAAACCCGACGACCCTTCTGCCGCGGCAACCGACGAGCACGACGCCGCCTCCAGCGAAGGAGCGAGGGCTCAGCGCCTCGCCCTCGACGAGAAGGATCCGTCGCTGGACGTGGGTCCCGATGGCCGCCCTCTCTTCACCTCCGCCCCTTCCCTGTCGCAACTCACTCGCAAGGACGCCTGCTCCTACTTCAAGTTCAGGTAGGTTTGCTCTTCTTCCTCGTCCATGGGGTTGTGTGTATGCTCGCGGTCGTTTTGAGAGATCGAATGATTATTGGGTGGTCTTGGAATGGTAATAGCATAGACAAATTGAAGGAGGTGTTGCCGGAGGGTTTGCCCGCTGGGATGGAGAAGGAGTTCGAAGAGTCTATGAGGAGCGCGGTGCTCGTGAGGCAGAATTTCCTCGACCTTCGCGACAACTTCAGGCGCATTGTTGATCCCCCCATGTTTTCCGATGGCAAAGGTCGGTACTTTCTTTCATCAACCTTGATCTCCGGACATCTTAAGAAAAGAAAACAGTGTATGCATCTATACTCATGGATATATGGAGGTCGGACTATTTCCAGTGTTCAGTTTCTGATACATCAGTGAGCCATTTTTATCTTCTTCTACTTATGAATATGAGTACAATTCTTAGGCCCAAAGGTCAGCAAACAGATTGTCCTGGATGGTCCGGTAAGCTGTGGGAAGAGCATTGCGCTCGCCATGCTGGTTCACTGGGCTAGGGATGAAGGATGGCTGGTTTTTTATGCCCCAAGAGGCCGTGAGTGGACTCATGGAGGATTTTTCTACAAGAGCCCGCAGACTGGATTTTGGGATACTCCTTTGCAGGCTGAAAAAATTCTGAAGGCAAAATTTTCTTTTATTTCGTTCCATTTTGCTTAAGATGCTTATCTCATCTGATCATTGGTGGTATGAGTTGCATTTTGTTGGATTTATTGTTCCAAACGTGCTCGTGCTTTCTCTTATTATTATTTTTCCATTTTGGTTATGTATCCGCAGGATTTCTGTAAGTGGAATGAATCACACTTAAAAAAACTACCTTGCCAAATGTATGATCCCATAACTTTGGGAGAGGGCGCTGGTGTTGGATGGATGAAAGGGGTTGATTCCATGACGATGCCTGAAGGTTCGACCCTGGCTGATTTGGTCAAGACAGGAATCGATCATACGCATGCTGCTGTTGGAGTCTTGGTCCATTTGAGAAAAGAATTATCTCTAGTGAAAGATATCCCTGTGCTCATTGCTATAGATCAAGTGAGAAATACACTCAGTTTTCCTTTTTATTTGGTCATCCAACTTATTTTCCTTTTAAAACAGATCGATATAACAAGTTGTGGATTCCATTCAGTTGAGATCTTCTTTGTCAGTTATGTGCTTTCATTGCTTTTGTTCACTTCTTGTTGTCATGTGTTCCCAGTATAACAACTGGTTTACGTTCAGTGAGTATGAAGAGCCAGTTACAGTTCGATCCTGTCGACCGATACATGCTAAAGAGCTGGCCACTGTAAGTATCCAGAGGATCCTGAGATTGTTTAGGCTTCCTATTGTAGTTTATTGTTGTGATCTTGATAATGGTTATTGCTTGTAGCACATTCATCAGACCCTATTCTTGTTTCCGTCGGTCATTGAATGTTACCTGGGATTCATATCCCATTGGCCGGGGCCAACAGAATCCGTTTTGCTGATGCCTAGGAACAATCTCCTCTTGTTTAAAAATGGTGTACGCATGTGCTGAACTATTTTCTTGCATCAGCAAGAACGTCTACCGTTTTTGTGCTCATGACCGCCTTCCTCCATTGGCCTTGCATTTGGTGAACTCAATGCCAATTGCAGGGTGTCATTCAGCCAATTACGTTTCTGAGGGCCTCACCTAAGTTTGTGCAACTTGGAGATACTATGTACTTTCTAAGTAGTATAGTAGAAATCGCCAAGATGATATGGGTGTCTATTCCACAAGTATGCGACACTGCTCGTGCAAAGCTGTAAAGCTTTGATGTTACATTGTTGCTCATGCACTATGGTCAAATGATGCGTTTGTTAGACTTTGCTTTTCCATCTGGCCACTTAGAGAGGGTTACTAATTTGTACTTATAGGTAAATGCCTTTAGGACCATGATGCACAATGACATGATGGTTGGCGCTTTCTCTCATTCAACTGCTGTGGGAAAGCTCCGTAAAGAACTGCCAGATGTTCCTGTCGATGCTCGTTTGGTGTTTCCTCGATACAGCTTAGATGAAGCTGAAGCTGTTTGCCACTACTACCTTAGGTATGTTATGAGTTGCACAGGTTATTACACGTAATTTTTATGGTGATAATTAGGTTACATGGTGTTGTGGAATCAATTTTTTAATATTGAAGCGGAATTCCGATTTTGTAAATCATGTTGTGGGTTTTACTGTCAAATTTCTGGGGAAGTATCTAGAAGTGATGCTGCAAGATATGGAACAACATGAGATACGTTGAAGCACTGGAAAATGAGACTTTGAGCTATATGGCAAAGAGAAGTGACTTGCCTTGTGAAAACTGAGATAAGTTTTGGCAGATAAAATGTTGGTCCTGGGCTCCTAGTGAAAATAATTACTCGTTTGAGATATTTGATTTCCTTTAGAGGATAAGAATTTTACAAACTGTGGTGACTACTGGATATCTATATATCGAAAAAAACACTTGAACAATGTCCAACGCTCCAATATATTTCCGTTTCTGGCAGGCAAAGGCTGGCAAGGCGTGAGGCATTCACTGAAGAGAGCTGGAAGAAGGTTTACTACTTATCACGTGGAAATGGATCCGAGATGAGATGGTTAATTCCTTTGATGCGATGATTCGCTTAGTTAACATTGTTGTCTTTCGATGTATTGTGGCTGGAACTGATGGAACTAGCATGAAATATTTTTTAGCCCGACCAGAAAAGAGCAAGGTATCTTTTTGACTAGAGACCAAGCGGATGAATTGTCGTTGAAGGTCACGTGATTTATGTAGAAGACTCTTGCCTTTTGTTTAGCATGAAGTAGTTGTGCCATATGTAACTTTTTTTGGTTATATAGATTAATGAGATGATTCTCTTTTGCTTGGAGATTTATTGTGTTTGATACAGTCGGTTGTGTTGGGTCGGTCGGATTTGTGCATTAATTAGCCACTTAATAAAAGTAAATCTTCTCCAATCACACAGACCAGTGGCTTTCCAAGGTCAAAGGTAATTTAAATATTTTTAAACGTGGTAACTTAGCGTGTCATTTCAACTGATATGGGGAAGTGCATTTTGACATTTCAATTAAACCGTAAACTTATATGGAGAACTGCAATTGAAGGTCGCAGTGCAGCGTGTTTTAGGGCCACACCGATAATTTTTTTAGGTAATATCCGAAAGGAGTTCATTCACAAGGTTTTTTATGATTTAATTAAATCAATTGAAAAGTTTGAAACTCAATTAATTGTAGCTTGTGTTGGAAACTGATGGCTCCACCTTTGATAAGCTTCTTACAAGATTCCTCTCTCTCCTCGTGGGACGTTGAGCCCCTTATCATAAAATATTTAGGCTTTATGGCTTTTTTTGAGAGTCTTGAGTTAGCTTACTGCCCTCGAGATTCAAATAGATTAGCAGATTGGGTTGTAAGGGCCTCAAGATTTAAGGCCTTTCACGTTATTGGGTTTCTTACCCACTACCACCTTTATGGGAGATCCTGTGTTTTGATGCCCTTTACTCTAGAGGGCTAGCTGTTAAATAAAATGATAAGTCTCTGTTATATCCAAAAAAAAGATGAGGTTGAGTCACTCCCGACTAGTGGTGCGGTTTTCGAGACATATCTTGTTGTATTTCTTGATGCTGTAAAATGATAATTGTTTTCAAATAAGTGAATTTTGTGCATTAGTTATATTAATTCATTTATAGGTAAATTTAAAAAAAATTGAGTTTTGTGCATTATAACATGAGATCGTTAATAATAGGGATAATGATGCGGTCCCCGAACTTTTAGTTTGTTCAATGTAGTCCCTGAAATTTAGTTTAATGTTCAATGTGGCCTCTGAACTTTTGCTTTGTTCAATGTGGTCCTTGAACTTTTAAGACATGTTCAATTTGGTCCATGAACTATATGAAAATATATAGTCCTTGAACTATATGAAAATATTGAACATTTTCATATAGTTGAGGGATCAAATTGAACATGTACCAAAAGTTCAAATATAATATTGAACAAATTAAAATTTCAAGAATCACATTGTACATTGAGTTAAAGTTCAGAGACGATATTGAATAAATTAAAAGTTCGTGGACCATTCCAAATTGGGCCAAAGTTCATTTTCCCTTAATAATATACATGATATGTGTTGTTTTCCATAGTTTGATTTTGTGAATTGTGAGTTTAAAGAGTGAGTAAATGAGATAGCTAGGTAATCCATTTATTAGGGTATTGTTAACAAGTGTCCCGACAACTTGTCAATCATAATTAATAAAGAAAAATTTTCATTTTCAATATATTGATTGTACAAGTGTTGATTGTGCATAGCGTGAGAAAAATATTTCTTTCGAAATGACAAAATTTCATTTGTTTGGATGTTTAACACGTGCTCTTGGAGCACTTGTTAACAAAATCCATACTGTTATATAAATTAAAGAGGACATCCTATTTAAGAGATCACAATTGTTGGGTTTCTTTCAAAAAATATACTCAATTGTTACTTAGGTAAAAGTTATCAAAAATCTAAATTATGCTCCATGTGACACATTTACCTTAAACTTTTTTTCCATGACTTGAAGAATCCCAAACTTGTACTTGTGTAACACATTGATCCTCCGTCAAAGTTCTGTCAATCAAAACAATTAAAAATTTGCCTATATTGATCCTAGAAAGCAAACAGTGCTAACATGACTTTCATATGGCTTAAGGAATATTTCTCTACATCAGTTAATAATTCAAATATTTTGTAACAAGATGAGTTTGCAATATCTCTAGAATAGATTTTGCTAATAATAAGGAATGAGAGTAATTAATGAAAACTAGACCTACAAACTAAGCTAGGATATTAAGGCAGAGAATGGAATAGTGGCACAACAACATTTCAAATGAAAGATTTCCAAATTTAGTCAATCGAATGAGGGGAGGAGCGAAGTAGGATTTATTTGACAATTGACCAGATCTTCATTATCTGAGGGTATTTTGGTCACTTGGAGTGAAAAGGGTGTGTTTCTACCTAGAACCTAGAACTGGATGGATAGACCGGTGGGAACATGTCCAGTTTCAGGTTCCAAGGTATGCTAAATAGGTTCCAGATTCCAAAAATTAAGAAAGCTGTTTCGATGGGTAGGTTACAAGTTCTAAGTAGGTGGACCCTAGAATATTGAATCTAGAACTTAGAACCTGGAATAAATATTTTTGTTTTTCTTCATTTGTGTCTTTGCGCAATCTTGCGGTATTCCGTGATATCCGATGATGAATATATAATTTGGAACTACTAGTCCGAGCTTTTCATTTTATGATCGAGACATTTATTTTGTTAATGTTTCATATTTTTTTTGTGTCCAAATATAAGTTGTGGTCGATGAATTATAGTGGTGGTCATAAAATGTGATGTTTAACTGCAATCATTCAATCAGAACCTGGTTAGACCCTGAAACCTGTGATATGGTAGGTTCCAAGTTCCAAGGTATGCAAGGTAAATTCTAGTTTCAAAAAATGAAGAACTCGTTCTAACGGGTATGTTCCAGGTAGAATATGTACGGAACCTAAAACCGCTCGTCCCTAATTTCTACTTTCTAGTTTAGTTGAGGGTGAATACTCCCGCCGTATAGAAAATTGGATTCATTCCTTTTACCCCCTTCTAAGAGAATTACCTAATTAACGTAAGTTCGTTATGAGAGTAACAAAAAGTACGGAAAAAGTTTAAACATTACTGGAATAAATTAGCGCGAGGATGCAACTTGGTCAAACACTTCTTTACCATGTGAGGGTGAGAGTAATATTGCTATAGAAAAAAAGTGTGAAAGTAATATTAAAATAATGAGAATCTGAGTAACATTTAAACTCGATCAGTTGACTATTCGCATGGAAAAGTAAGTTATGAAATATTACCTGAATTTAGGACATGAAGTTTTTACACTGATCAGTACGTTATAGCTATTACAAAACAATTAGGTAAATTTCATATATAAATAAGTTTTCAGGGATAACGACACAAACAGTCCTTGAACTTTGGCTTAATTTACAATGTGGTCCCTGGACTTTTAATTTGTTCAATATAGTCCTTGAACTTTTAGCTTAGTGTGCAATGTGATCCCTAAATTTTTACTCCGTTCAATGTGATTCATGGACTTTTGGTATATGTTCAATATAGTTTATGAACTATATGAAAATATTTAATGTAATCATTCCATTAAAAGTTCAGAGACCACATTGCACATTGGGTTAAATTTCAGGAATCATATTAAATAAATTAAAAGTTCATGGATTGTATTACATGTTGGGTCAAAGTTTATGACTATTTGTGTTATTTTCCCAAATTTTAAAATAGTAGCAAAGGGCAAAAGAGGGGTGGTGGTTTTGATGGAGTTCAAATGGGGGCCCGGCCCAGTAATGTCACGAAGGCCCATTAAGCCGAAAGCTCGAGCGTCGAGTCTCCGAGTAGGACAAGATTAGTTTTGGTTCGGAGCTGTTGATGCTCTTGAGTCTGGCTCTCCCTCCTCTGTCCATCTCCGACCGCAGGCCAGCAGCAGCAGCTCCCCATCTTCTTCCTCCTCCTCCTCCTCCTCCTCTCTCTCCCTCTCCCTTAAACCCTACAAAACCCCACCCACCCACCCACCCTCCTCCGACGGCCATGAACCCGCCGCTCCTCACCGCCGCTCCCCCTTCCGCCACCCTCCCTCTCTTCCCCTCCCCCTTCCTCACTCCCTCCCTCCCCAGACGACGCCGCCGCCGCCTCATCAAAGTCTCTCGTCCTCGCGCCACCCTCGATCAGCCCACCCCCACTTCCGCTCCGCACAACTCCGACGTCTTCGGCGGCCCCAAGGAGCTCACTGGCATCCAACCCCTCGTCAAGAATCTGTCCCCTCCCGTGCGCTTAGCCGCCTCCGCCATTGCGGTGGCCGGTGCGGTCGCGGCTGGCTATCATCTAGGCTTTCGGTTGGGTGGGTCTCGCAATGCTGCTCTCGGCGGGGCTGCTTTGCTCGGGGCTGCCGGCGGCGCCGCTGCTTACGCCGTGAGGGCTTCCGTGCCTGAGGTCGCCGCTGCCGATTTGCATAACTACGTCGCCAGTTGCGATGATCCTCGGGCTGTTAAGAAAGAGGACATAGAACTCATTGCCACCAAGTCAGTTCCATTCTTAATCTCTGTTTCTCGATTAAGGCCTCATTTCGTTGTTCCTTCGATACGTTGTCATAGGGAAAATTCTGTCGGATTCCCCAGTGCGTTTTACTGCCGAATAGATATAGGTTTCAATTTGTCTGACCGGGCTGGAATGAGGATTTGGGAAGTCCTGACTCGAGTCGTTGTCATCGAAGAGCTTGCATTTTCATTGCTTGCTCGATGGAAATATGGATTATATGATGTCACCATCTTCCCCGTATCGCCTTTTCATTTCCTATGCTAATTCACTTTTGACACCCCATCTTGCAGGTACGGTGTGAGCAAGCAAGATGCTGCTTTCAATGCAGAGCTCTGTGATTTATACCTTAGGTGAGCTTACACAATGAAACGACCACGCGTCTCTTCTACTTCTTGCAGATGTTTCTTATGCGCAAATAGATAGATTGCTGAAAGTTTAGAGAGTTCGAAGTGGCTTTTGCTTTATCTGTTAAAGTTTGAAATCAGACTTTTATTTGGTATTGGTCTCCTCAATTGTCCAAATACTTGAAAAGATAAGGATTTAAAGCCACTCCCATTTTTCTTATAATATTTTAGGAGACATTTAGTCTTTCTCATTTTGGCAGCAAATGCAAACAGGACCTCTTTCTGTTGCCTTTGAGTTGGTTAAATTTCCTACGCTATCTTCCATGCAGGTTTGTCTCATCCGTCCTTCCTCCTGGAAATGAAGAACTTAAAGGAACTGAAGTTGATAAAATTGTCAAGTTTAAGAGTGCTCTGGGCATTGATGATCCTGAAGCAGCTGCCATGCATATGGAGGTGCTCTCACACTAGCTAGAGCACCTAGCTACTTTTTGAACGCTTAAGAATATCGAATCGCAATGGGAAGTATGACGAGTAGTCTCTAACTGAAAATGGTTTTAGTTGTGTTCTTCCAGATTGGTAGGCGTATTTTCAGGCAAAGGCTCGAAACTGGGGATCGTGAAGCTGATGGAGAACAACGTCGGGTATGAAAATACGAATGCCTGTAGTTATGCTGCCAACATATTGCGCTATGACTAGCATGCCTTTGCTAAGTGTCGTATGGTACTTTATCACTATTACTTCCTCTTCAGTGCAGGCATTTCAAAAGCTGATATATGTTTCAACTCTTGTGTTTGGAGAAGCATCAACTTTCCTTTTACCTTGGAAGCGCGTATTCAAAGTTACCGATGCCCAGGTATCAAGTCATCTATGAGGCAGCGTGTTCTTGGTGCTATGATTATGGTGTTGCCTGGATAGATACCTTTGTTGGAGTTCAGTGCCCAGTAGTTGCAAGATCAATCTCCTTCTGTTACTGTAACCTATCAAAACTGCGCTTTCATTTATCACATTGATGACGTGCATTACTCATATACCTATCACATTCAGCTCATTCAATTTTGCATTAATGTCTGTGCAGGTTGAGGTTGCTGTTCGGGATAATGCGCAGAGGTTGTATTCTTCCCAGCTAAAAGCAATTGGGAGAGGTCTGTGTAATTATATTGATTTTAAACAGTCATGAAATGTACAATCAATCTGGTTTTAGTAGTTTATGCTGAAAATAAGTAAAGTAACTTGGCGTTTTGACCTGCCTTTTATTTTCGCAGCCTTTTCTTTTTATGGCTGCTGTGGCACTTTGCCCATTATGAATTTATAATGGTTTACTTGTATACTGAAATTGATGTCTCTGTTAGATCTCAATGAGAACCAGCTTGAAAGTCTTCGGTCAGCACAACTATTGTATCGGCTATCTGATGAGGTAATTTTTCTTCGTCTGCAAAAATGGATTGGACAATGATTTTCTTTTTGGGGCATTTCTTTCATTCGCTTATTGGTGCAGCTTGCTGAGGATTTACTTAAGGAACATACAAGAAAACTGGTTGAGGAAAATGTCTCAGCAGCTCTGAATGTGCTGAAATCAAGAACAAGATCAGCGTATGTTCCCTAGTCCCTTCTAGATGTTGCTCAATATGGAATTGGGGTTTCTAGAGTTTATTCAAATTGTTTTTGTCATATATCGGTCAGCTGGGGCCTGGGGCATCCTTTCAGGATTTTGAGAAAAGTTTCGGCAATGACTTTTTGAGACAGAAAGAAACATCAATGATTTGAGGGCTATGCCTTCACTTTTAGTTGAGATTAATCAGTGGTCATGTGTTTACTTGTTCAAGAATTGTTCAGAGAATGGTTCTTGCTTATTTTCTGCAAAAGGATTCTTGTCATCAACTTAAAATTTGCATAATCCAGGAGAGGAGTAGCTCAAGCTGTCGAAGAGCTAGATAAGATTCTAGCATTTAATAACTTGCTTGTCTCCTTAAAGAACCACCCAAACGCTGATGGCTTGGCTCGTGGGATTGCTCCAGCTTCCTTACTTGGTGAGGAACCTTGAAGTTTTTGGGTCCATGAACCATTAAGTTTGTTGTCATGGACAGAGTCTGAATACTAATCTGTACCTCAGGTGGTGAATACGACAGTGACAGAAAAATGGATGACTTGAAGCTCCTTTATAGAGCATATGTTGCAGATTCTTTGTCTAGTGGTCGTCTTGAAGAAAGCAAGGTGAAAGAAACATTCTCTACTATTTCGACCGATTTGCTGGTTTGTCATGCATGACATTGTCAGATACTGTACTTTGTAACCTATTTGTCTGCCCCTTACCTGCTTCTTCTTGAACATTACCTGGCCCATTTGCCTTCTTATATCCTCACTTTTATTCTTTACTTATTTTTAGCTGGATGCTTTGAGTCAACTGAGGAATATCTTTGGTTTGGGTAAACGTGAGGCTGAAGCTATCATGCTTGACGTAACTGCGAAGGTGTATCGTAAACGACTTCAACAGTCATTTACTGGTGGTGAATTGGAAGCTGCAGATAGCAAAGCAGTATTCCTCCAAAACCTATGTGAAGAGTTGCGATTTGATCCACAGAAGGCTAGTGATATTCATGAAGGTATTTTCATTAATTTCCTGTTGTAGAGCACTAATTGAGTGTCATTCATGTGCGCTCTGTTCTTTTCTTGTTCCCTTACCTATGCTGTGGTTCAATGGTTCCTAAAGTTTATCAACTTAATTATCTATCTCGCAATGTGACAATTGCTAGCAAAATGAATTTTTCTTCCTGAGTAGAACACAGTGAATTTAGAGAATCGTAGGTAGAAAGAAAATTAAAAAATTTGTGTCTATATGTTGCATGGCGCCATCGTATAATACCCAATGACATCCACTTTTATTTTCATGTAGAAATTTACAGGCAGAAACTTCAGCAGTGCGTTGCTGACGGAGAACTGAGTGAAGAGGATGTTAAAGCTTTACTACGATTACGAGTTATGCTCTGTATCCCTCAGCAGACTGTTGAAGCAGCTCACTCCAGCATATGTGGCAGTTTATTTGAGAAGGTAAACATCAGAACTGCCTTCACGATGTTCCAATTTCACGTCTGACTCATGTTTTATGCGTTACATTTGTCTACAAAGAAATTGGTTTGACCGCACTGACTTTCCTGAACTGTTAAATTCAGGTTGTGAAGGATGCGATTGCCTCAGGAGTTGATGGATATGATGCAGAAGTGAAGAAATCTGTGAGAAAAGCAGCTCATGGCTTGCGCTTGACAAGGGAGGCTGCCATGTCTATTACCAGCACAGCTGTGAGTATCTTCCTTTACGATTCCTTTGCTTTTGGGGGGCTTCTCTTTCTCTCTCTCTCTCTCTCTCTCTCTCTCTCTCTCATGACATGGATGAGACTGGCTGGATACCAAAATGGATTTGCAAAGATATACTTGTGTTCAGGCTACAATAGGTCAACCTTACATTTTGTGAAAGGTTCATGCTAATTCTCTTGGAGTAGCGGCAACGATAGATAGAACATCAATATTCCTTAGAAGTATAACCAAATAACGTCTTTTATCAAATCCATTTTTCTACATTCCTCTACCCCTGTACAGTAAGTAAATTCACTCCACTAAAAAGGACTGCAATCTAAGAAGAAAGTTCAAAGTTTTGGTCATACACAACTGTATAGTAACCAAATTTCCTAATGGCATTCCGTCTATCTCCTTTGTCCTTAAGTTCATTTGTGTGTTGCTGTCCCCTTCATTGTTGCCTGGAATGCTGGTTTGAAAGTTAGACGATATGTTCTGATTATTTGAAATGAATTTGACTTGGTACCTGCAGATTCATCGGTTAATTAGTGAGCACGAATATGACTCGGATTATGATATCCCTTATGGATTATTTGCATTGATGCGCATGGTGGTCGCGCTCATATGGGCATGCGGGCAGTTGCTAGATAGACTATACAGTGTCAGGTGTAGGGCGTGAACTTGACTACATGTATTGGTTTATACCAATCAGCACCCTCTTAGTGATCATTTTCTGTGAAGTCTACTAATAAGAAGTATCTGTGTGTCTTGCATTTAGCATCAGTTGACATTTGATCGAGTTAGCAGGTGCATTTACCTAGTTTAACTTGTCTTAGGACAAGCAAAAAAATTCATGGTTATGCTATTTATTCAAGCCAATCATAACCTTCGATTGCCTTATCTCCATGCAGGTCAGAAAAATTTTCATCAATTACATTAAACGAGCACGAGCAGCTCAGAATCGTACTGAATCTGCTAGGGAGCTTAAGAAGATGGTCGCCTTCAATACCTTGGTTGTTGCTGAACTGGTGGCAGACATAAAAGGGGAATCACCTGATACTGCATCTGAAGAAGCTGCTAAGGAGGTAGAAATAGAAATCGAAGAGGAGGAGTGGGAGTCTCTCCAGACACTTAGAAAGATAAGACCCAGTAAAGAACTTACAGCCAAGTTAGGAAAGCAAGGCCAAACAGAGATAAATTTAAAGGATGATCTTCCAGAGAGGGACAGGACTGACCTCTATAAGACATATCTATTGTTTTGCCTGACTGGAGAAGTAACGAATATCCCCTTTGGAGCACAAATCACAACCAAAAAGGATGACTCTGAATTTGTATTGCTAAACCAGCTTGGCAGTATCCTTGGCTTGACTCCTAAGGAGATTGTGGAAGTCCACCGGGGTCTCGCCGAGCAGGCATTCAGGCAACAAGCAGAGGTGATATTAGCTGATGGTCAGCTGACGAAGGCTAGGATTGAGCAGCTGAATGAGGTGCAGAAGCAAGTTGGCTTGCCTCCAGAATACGCTCAGAAAGTAATTAAGAGCATTACAACTACAAAGATGGCAGCTGCAATAGAAACTGCTGTGAGTCAGGGGAGGCTCAACATAAAGCAGATCCGAGAACTCAAGGAAGCGAGCGTAGATTTAGATAGCATGATATCCGAGAGCCTGAGAGACAACCTCTTCAAAAAAACCGTGGATGAAATATTCTCTTCAGGTACAGGTGAATTTGATGAGGAGGAAATTTACGAGAAAATACCGGCCGACCTGAATATCAAATCTGACAAAGCTAGAGAGGTGGTTCACGAGCTAGCTCGAAGTAGATTGTCAAATTCGCTCATTCAGGCTGTGTCCTTGTTGAGACAAAGGAATCGACCAGGAGTGGTACGGACTTAACAGAGTTTGTCATCCTATGTTCTTCTACTAGTTGCGAGCTGTAAATTTTAAGGGTTGATATATTTGCCAGGATGATGTGCTTCCTTTTAAAGCCATTTCAATCATTGTGTGCAGGTTTCCTCTCTCAATGATTTGCTGGCATGTGACAAAGCTGTACCAGCGGAGCAGCTGTCTTGGGAAGTGCCAGAAGAACTGGCAGACTTGTTTGCTATATACATGAAGAGCGAGCCTGCCCCAGAGAAACTATCGAGATTGCAGCATCTGCTTGGCGTTAGCGATTCAGCTGCGGCAGCTATCCGGGAGATGGGAGACAGAGTGATTCAAATTGGTGCAGAGGAGGAAGAGTTTGCTTTCTGAGTAATTCCTTTTTGGTTTTCTTATGTGTATCGGCATAAGTTTCGTTTGGCCCAATGTATTACTCAATTTGTATCTGCTCTCTCACCAGTTAGATTGCTCAAGGATGATAGAGCTCGATGCTGACTTGTCGAGATTTTGGTTATATTCATATATTTATCCAAATAACGGACCATTCTGAGAGTATTGACCCCATCCAATGTATTTCCTGCTGCATTACTTTGTATCTACTCATGGGCGCACGCCTTATGGATCGAGAGGAAAAGTACAGTGGAGGGACCTTTGATTGAGGCATCGTGCATAATTTGGTACTTAATATACATCTCGAGGGATTCAAGCCCATTTAACAAAATGTGTGGATAGATGAAGATAGGCATTCATGATCCTATAGCTTCGACTCGGTCTTGAGGAAGACTAATAGAGATAACGGGGGATGGATCCCATATCTGAGCGCTGAAAGTCAAGCCTGATGAATGTTGCGGATGGCTGCATTGATGCTCTTGCAATCGAAATCCATTATCTTCATCCAGTTCTCGAAGTCCCCCATTTCCTGTGCCGCGAATATTAGTAAACATTTCAAGACGCGTTCAGTCTCGCTATAGTTTGGTAAAGCAATCTGGACTTACCTTGATGGCGGAGTTAAGAGCATGAGTGGAGGCGAGCCAGTGATCGGTCTGCTTCGTGAAGCGGGAGACGGCGGCCGCCAAAGCTCGAATCTCGAGCTCGATGCGCTTCTGGTTGAGGAAGGCCTCCTGCACCCCTCCGTTCACCGCCTCCACCAGCAGATCCGACACCGCCGCAGCGCTCCTGATTGCGTCTCTCTTGGCTTTCTCAGCGCGGTCTCGGAGGAGGACCGAGCGGTGGTGGTGATGGTGGATTAGGCCGAGCAGAGAAGTTTCCAAGCCCCCGCCGCCGGCAACGGGATGGCTATCAGCCTGGGCTGGCTCCAATTGAGAGGGAGACAAGACGCGCGTCCGAGCAAGCGGCAGCTGCGGTGAGTACATTCTGTCTCTGTCTCCGTCTCCGCCTCTGGGGGCGTCGCACCATCTCCCATTTCACTTATCTTGATTGACGTAGGTTGGGGGTTGGGCAGCCCGGCCCAGTCCACGTCCACGTCGGGTGAAGGCCTAAACGGTAAACGTCCTTCATTAAAAACATAATGGATGGAATGGATTGAGAAAGACATTTGGAATGATCGACGGTGCTCGTTTCATTGACTATTCTCATTTGAATTGAGAAGTGGGCCGAACCTTAAAAGAATATGTTTTTAGTTTTTCCAAGGAAGTTTCCATCCATGTCTACTGCCTCCGTTAGGTACAGGTGAAGTGGTTAACACCCCTTGCATACTTTTCCATCTTTCCATGCGTTTGCGACTGGACCCTCGACTCTTGTGGACTTCACATTTTCCCTTGCCTCCCGGTCTTCTCCCCTTAACCATGTCCTTTACTTCAATTGAATGTTACTCACAGGAGATCCTTAGCCTCATCCATGCAATTACGAGAGGGACGTGCGAGAAAAGAGAGGCCACACCCATCTTTGCCTTTCTCTCTAGGACAAGATTCTGTCGCCTCCTGATTTAATGACCCTGATTGTGATATTGATAAACATCGTTTTTAACTGTACGGTTCTGCTTTCCCTATTCTTAGCCTCCATTTCGTGTTGCTCCTTTTTTATCCTACGTTTCTTGTGCTCCACTTCTCCGTCGTGGCAATGATTTTCAATCGTCCACTCATTACTTGTACATCTATTTGTACATCTATATTATGTTTATGAAGCATGACATGATTGACCGGGGGAAATCTTACACACGCCCAATTGAGTCCTTTCCATTGAATAATAGCATGATTACCCCCCATCAATGCTTTTTGTATCAGTTGCTAGTGTACTATGCAATGTGAGGTAGAAGAAGTAAGAGAAGATATTAGATAAAACTAAGAGGATCGGTTTAGTGATCTGTCTTATCTGTCTGAATTAGACATATCATATGTGCTTAGTGATTGCCAGCCTTTGCTTGTGGCCAGCCAGAGAAGGAAAAAAAAAAAGAAAAGAGAAAAAAAGGATTTTTTTAAAAAAAGTTATGAAATTATTATTAAAAATATTTATGTCAACGCTGATTATCCTCTGGCCATGTCACGTGGGATGGCCGGCATCCACGTCAGCGATTTTCGGCTTAAATTGGCCAGATGGACTGAATTGGTTACAATGTAAAAATATTTAGGACTAAACAGATTTAATATAAGGTTTAGAATTGAATCGGTACAAATGCAAAAGGTTTAAGACTTTTGTAGTACTTTTCCCCACATTGGTTCATACAATAATTTGAGTTATGTTCCATTGTAATGAGAAACAGCAATGACAATGTTTCCATGGAAAACCGATTTTAAGTATAGGAGCATTTGTGGATTCCAGTTGAAGTTTGTCTTTTGAATAATAGGGAAATTACATCAACAAAACATGCTTCAAAAGGGTAACAACAATAATTATTTTTAGTATTAAAATTCAACAGGAATTTCTTCAAAAGAGGACAAAATGCCGATGTCTTCGCTGTTGCTTCACCCACGGTTTGAGGCCACTCATGATTTGGAAATAGGCCTATGTATCGTTCATGGAAGGGATTTGGAGTGGCAACTTCAAAAATTTCTTCGTGTACTCACAAACTCCTCCCTTTGGCTTTAGGTGACGGAGTTCATCTTGAGCCTCCTCTTCCGCATGAGCGTGATAATATTATCGTCAGAATTCCTCGATGAACATCTCCCAAGTGGTGATAGGTTCACTCCTACGATGCCACCATAATAAAACATTGTCAGTCAAATACATAGCCACGTTACTTACCCAAAGGGCACCATCGATCACTCCCGCTGTATGTCTAAGTCCCCGGCCACCCTTGAACTCTTTTGGCTTCCAGGCGTCCATTCGTGGACCAGATTGCATGGTGATCACACCGTTCACGCGTGTCGCTTCCACTTTGACGAGTTTCGCCTTGAGCTCGGCCATCTTCGCACGCAGAGCCTCCACAAAGGCCTCCAATGCATCGGAGTTCATCAACAGTGTTGGTCAGGCTACCTAGCATCTCTCTTCGGAGTTATCCCATGCCGGATTTGAGCTCTCGCACCTCCGCTTTGAGCTCTCCTTTCTTGTTTTGATCATGGCAACAAAATCATGGTAGACACGAACAATTTCAGATTGATTTTTCATAAGATAACGCCATGTATAACGTAAATGATCATCAACAAAAATCATAGAATAGTGATCAAATTGAAGAGCAATTGCGCAGAACAAGTTAAATTTGGTCAATTTGTACTTGTATTTCAAATTGGTTCAATCCAATTTAATCAAATTCAATTCAATTGAGTTAATTAATCATAATAGGGATGAAATTATAACAAAATTGGGTCAAGAACCAAGCTGGTTCAACCTGTTTGAACCCGGGTCAAACCGATCCTATTGACCCCTTCGATGCTCTTGGAGGATTGCTCCTTGGATGTCCCCGAGGGCTATCTCTACCTTTGCCACACGAGTCTCCAAGTCACGCAACACATCCCTCGAACTCAAGCTTCTGCGGCTCCTTGTTGCTCGGTGGTCCTTCCACGATCCTCTTCATGGACGGACGTCGTGTCGGAATGTGGATCGACTTGCTCTAATACTACTTGTCGATCTAGTGTTCCCTTACTCATGTGGCCTTTGAAATTTCTTCCAAAGTCAGCTTTACTCGCTCACACTCACAAAGATTGTAGAGAGAGAAACTCTAGAGAGTGAAGCTGTGGATATTATATAACTTGTGAGATGATACAAATGAGGGGAGGAAGTCTCTATACATACAAGTACGGTTTGAACCACAGCCGTAGATTGCCCTTTCGATCTAACGGTGGAGATTCTATCCATTTATGTATATTCACCATATTACCCGCCCTTGGGAATATCCTATAAGGTATATTCTAGGAAATCTTCTAGGGAAAGAATTTTCCAGAGTATATAAAAATAATCCAAAAATACCTAGAAGATTGGAGGATCCCATTTCTTCTTGGATCGTTCGCGGTCCTTTGTGTGTAGAAAACTTTTGGACCGTGACACATGCATGCAATTTGCAGAGGGTCGATGGGTGTGGGATGGCCCTTAACCTTTTTGACATTTTGCAGCCATTGGCCCATGGAATTGGAAAAATAAGAACCTCATCTTTACTTCATTTCACATGACAACATCAGTTAAATTCAATCAAAATTTAGATTCCCCTCCTATTCATCACTTTGTATTTTTCTATGACGTGGAATTTTCGAGCCATGCATTGGCTGGTCCGAGAGATTAGGTGACCCCGCCTCTGAACAAACCTGTTGAGGAGATCTCTTTATAAAGCCCGTTCCATCCCATGCACAAGTTCACATTCTTATCCGTTTGATCACCTGCACCACAAAATGGCTAGTCATCCCATTTTGGTAATTGTCGCCATAGCTTCTCTAACCACACTCACCTGGGGAAGTGCCTCCGCGTGACTCTCTAAAAACTTCTACTCCAAAAGTTGCCCCAATGTTTTGAGCACGGTGAAATCGGTTGTCGCGTCCGCGGTGTCAAAAGAGCGTTGCATGGGTGCTTCTCTCCTTCGCCTCTTCTTTCATGATTGCTTCGTCAATGTAATCTTTCCTTCCTCCCTCCCTTTTTCCAAATTTCTACCTGTTCCCTACATATACACCCCTGCCACAACCATTTTTACCATTAAAACTCGAGTCTTATATTGTACATGATGCAAAAGAGTATGCATAATTCCATTATAAAGGCTATCTATGACCAAACCTTAATACCCAAACCCTAACACCCTAAACATAAAACCCAAAAGCCTAAATCCCAAGACCCTAAACTCGAAACCCAAAACCCATTTATGACCCATTTAATACCCATTTAAGATTCATTAAGTTAATAGGCAACACATTATGACTTATTTAAGCTTATTTTTAAAACTAAAGCTAACCCATTTATGACCTACATTCATTGAATATAAGTTAATGTATGGGTTCTTGACCCATTTTACCTCCTCTAGGATAGATGAAGATAGGTCATGCATGAACCTGAAGCTTCGACTCAGTCTTGAGGAAGAAAGACGAATAGAGAGAATGGAGATGGATTCCATATCTGAAAATCAAGCTTGATGAATGTTGCGGATGGCTGCATTGATGCTCTTGCAATCAAAATACATCATCTTCATCCATTTCTCGAAGTCCCCAGTTTGCTGTGCCGATAATATTAGTAAACATATTAAGACATGTTCGTTCGCTTAGTTTGATAAAGCAATCTAAACTTACCGCTGTGCTCCTAATTGCGTCTATCTTGGCTTTCTCAGTGCGGTCTCGGAGGAGGACCGAGCGGTGGTGGTGCTGGTGGATTAGGCTGAGGAGAGAAGCTTCCAAGCCCCCGCCGCTGGCAAGGGGATGGCGATCGGCCTGGGGTTGCTCCGATTCAGAGGGAGACAAGATGCGCGTCTGAGCAAGTGGCAGCTGCGCTGAGTACATTCTGTCTCTGTCTGTGTCTCTCTCCGGGGCGTCGCACCATTTCGCTATCTTAACGTAGATTGGGGGGTGGGCAGCCCGGCACAGTCCACATCCACCGAGCGTGAGGGTGAGAAAGACATATGGGATGATCGACGGCGCCCGTTTCATTGACTATGCTCATTTGAATTGAGAAGTGGGCCGAACCCTAAAAGAATATGCTTTAGTTTTGGCTTCTTCGAATTAAATGCTTTCTCCCCGTTTTTCCAAGGAAGTTTCCATCCATGTCTGCCTCTGTTATGTATAGGTTAACACCCATGCATACTTTTCCATCTCCATGGACTTGCGACGGGACCCTTGACTCTGTGGACTTCACATTTTCCCTTTGCTTGCCGGTCTTCTCCCGTCAAACGATGCCCTTTACTTTAATTGAATGTTATCCACAGGTAATCCTTAGCCTGATCCATGCAATTGCGAGAGGGACGTGCAAGAAAAGAGGGGCCACACCCATCTTTCCCTTTCTGTCTAGGAAAGATTCTTTGGCCTCATGATTGAACGACCCTGATTGTGATATTGATAAATTTTGTTTTTCACCGTACTATTCTGCTTTCCCTATTCTTAGTCTCCATCTCGTGTAACTCTCTTTTTATCCTACTTTTCCCTTCCTCCATTTCTCCGCCATGGCAATGATTTTCAATCGTCCGCTCATTACTTATACATCTATACGTACATCTATCTTTAGTACATGGAGCAAGATATGATTGACCGGGGCAAATCTTACACGCGCCCAATTGAGTCCATTCCATTTCCGCTATTGAATAATAACATGATTTCCCGCCGCCAATACTTTCCAAATTAATTGCTAGTGTACTATGCAATGTGAGGTAGAAAAAGTAAGAGAAGACATAGGATAAAATTGGTTTATCGATATGTCTTATCTGTGTGAATTAGACATATTACATGTGTTTGATTCCTCACGCCACCAAGTACAAACAAGTTCGTGTCTGGACTATCCACTCCACTTGCGTCTTTCTTGGCCGACGAATTTAATGAGGCATCTTACCACTTGAGTTTACCTACCTAATTAAGTGAACTTCTTTGTCATAGAAAAATAGGTATTGGGTTGGATTTTCTATCTTTCAAAACAATCGCATGCCTCAATTTTAACGAAAGAGTACTGACTAATATTGGGTAGATAGAAGGAAAAGAAAACAAGCTAATAGATGGGCAATATGACTGGAGATTATGGATTAGATTAGAAGTGACCTGTATCATGGTTCTTGGTGACAAAGATGGGGGTACATAAAGGTTATTGGGAAAATTGTCCCAAAAGTCCTAAACCTATTGCATTTTGGCCAATTTAGCTCTAAACCTTTCAATTATGCTAATTGAATCTTAAGTCTTTTTACGTTTTGCTAGTTGAGTGCATCTGATCAATTTTAGTTAGAAATCGTCGATGTGAACGCCGGTGGTCACGTGGCACGAGCGGCGTTGATGGGTACAAAATAATAATAAAAAATTCAAAAAAAATTTCACGTCAGTGCTGGTCGTTATACACGGCACTACCGACGGCAAGTTCCATTTAAAATGGATCGGATGGACTCAATTGAAAAAACGTGAAAATATTTAGAACTTAATTGGCAAAATTAAAATGTTTATAACTAAATTGGCTAAACTGCAAAGGTTATCAGATTGATGAGTTACAAATTGAATCTAGTAAAGAAGATAAGCTAAAAATTAATACGGATGATATTCCATCAAACAGAAGATATGTTGGAGGAAGACATCATTTGATAATGAATAGTGGAACACCAATGACCACGATGATGGTCATGACCCATCCGCGATGAGTGTCACAATGGCTTGTTTTTGTTCCACAGAAATAGAAAAAAAGACGGCAACGACAATGTTTCCCGGCAAACCGATTCTAGTACAGGAGCATTTGTGGATTCAACCTGAAGTTTGTCTTTCAGATTATAGGGAAATTACGTAAACAAAACATGCTCATAGTGAATTTCTTCATGGAAAAAGGGGTAACGACAGTAATTAATTTTAGTATCAAAATTCAGCTAGAATTCCTTCAAAAGAGGACAAAATGTCGATGGTCACGTACGGGAGCGAGCAATAGCACGACGTCGATCGCCACCGAACGGCAAACAGTAAAAAGTGGAAAGAGCTGGAAGGGCAGGCATGCATGCATGCATGCAAGCAATTTCCAGAGGAGACGAGGTTCGATGGACGGGGGATGGCCCTACATCTTTTTGACATTTTGCAGCCCTTAGGCCCATGGAATTGGAATAATCAAGAAGCTCATCTTTACTTTACTTCACTTCACGCATCCATCATCAGTTACATTCAATCAAAGTCTAGATTCCCCTCCTTTTCATCACTTTGTATTTTTCTATGACAGTGGGATTTTCAAGCCATGCATTGGCGGGTCCGAGAGATTGGGTGAACACGCCTCTGAAACAAACCTGTTGAGGAGATCTCTCTCTATAAAGCCCGTTCCATCCCCATGCACAAGTTAACATTCTTATCCGTCTGATCACCTTCACCACAAAATGGCTAGTCATCCGATTTTGGTAATTGTCGCCATAGCTTTTCTAACCACACTCGCCTGGGGAAGTGCGTCCGCACAACTCTCTACGAACTTCTACTCCAAAAGTTGCCCCAATGTTTTGAGCACGGTGAAACCCGTTGTTGCGTCCGCGGTGTCGAAAAAGCGCCGCATGGGTGCTTCTCTCCTTCGCCTCTTCTTTCATGATTGCTTCGTTAATGTAATCTTTCCTTCCTCCCTCCCTTTTTCCAAATTTCTACCTGTTGTATAAAGGCTGTGTATGACTAGTTCTATGAATACACAAGCTTTCTTTCTTCTTGAATAAAAAAAGCCGATTTGGATTTTAATTCTATCTGCGATCGAAAAATAACGTGATAACGTTCGTGCATACTAGTCCGTGCGTACAAAGTTTTTTAAGTTGATTTGAAAATCAATAGTTACACATACTCCACCGCTATGCATAAAGCATCATCGGCCCTTCAGTATATAATATGTGTGAACTTCTCTAAGAGGAATCACTTACTTTTACGTGGATCGTGGAAGAGTGGGACCTGTTCAAAAACATGCATGGTTTGACATGGTTAGTTTTGCATTGACCAATAATAGGGGTGCGATGGCTCGATACTCCTAGACGACACATCCTCGTTCCGAGGGGAGAAGACGGCTGGCCCAAATAATAATTCGGTAAGAGGATACAACGTCATCGACCAGATCAAGTCCAAGGTGGAGTCCGCCTGTCCTGGCGTGGTTTCTTGTGCAGACATTGTAGCCATTGCTGCTCGCGACTCGGTGGTCCTAGTATGTGTTAAAATTGATATAGCTAGTTGTTCATTTAGTCTGAGCTCCTAATACACTGTTATTATCAATTGATGGCGATGTGATATTTGAAGCTGGGCGGGCCAAGTTGGGAAGTGAAACTGGGAAGAAGAGACGCAAGGACCGCGAGCTTCTCCGTCGCCAACAGTGGAGCCCTTCCCCCTCCGACTTCAACGCTCGCCAGCCTCATCTCTAATTTCAAAGCTCAGGGCCTCTCCACCAGGGACATGGTTGCCTTGTCTGGTACGTGTCTAATATTTGCAGTCTCTGGGCTCGCTCAATTGCTAGGTCGCTCATGGGTCATGCATATGGGCGTGTATTGCAGGGTCTCACACCATAGGGCAGTCAAGGTGCACGAGCTTCAGATCTCGCATATACAACGACAGCAACATCGACAGCTCCTTTGCCAAGATTAGGCAGCGCAAGTGCCCCCGCACCGTTGGGTCTGGGGATAGCAATCTGGCTCCTCTCGACCTCCAATCGCCCACTGCCTTCGACAACGCCTACTTTAAGAACTTGATCAGCAACAAGGGCCTTCTTCACTCGGACCAGGAGCTCTTCAATGGCGGATCCACCGACTCTCTCGTCAAGACGTACTCCAACAACCCCAAGACCTTCAACTCTGACTTTGCTTCCGCCATGATCAAGATGGGTGACATCAACCCCCTCACGGGTTCCAAAGGCGAAATTCGCAAGATCTGTAGCAAGGTCAATTAGAGTCTCTACGCCTTGTCTCACCACACGTGGTTGTGGAAAAGAGGAGGTTATTCTCTCTAATGTTCAGTAAAAAACCAGGATGAGTAGGCAATGCGAATGCCCCCAACCAAACCGACGGGGAAGTATTTTGTTGTCGAGAAAGTGTAACTTTGATTTCTGTAGCCAGTCTGTATTTGAGATTTCTCAGTGGGAATAAAACCTTGAACAATTCAACGTTGGACTTATACACCCATAGCAAATGCCACTTTTATACGATTGACTAGTTTGATTTATATGAACACCAACAAATAATGTCGCCATACAAATGCCTGTTTGACTTAAAGAGTTACTTATCCACGTTCTCGCAAAAATTTGAGAAAACTTATTTTAACTTGTCTGCAAAGAAATTGGTTTGACCGCACCGGCTTATCTGAACTGTTAAATCCAGGTTGTGAAGTATGCGATTGCCTCAGGAGTTGACGGATATGATGCAGAAGTGAAGAAATCTGTGAGAAAAGCAGCTCATGGCTTGCGCTTGACAAGGGAGGCTGCAATGTCTATTGCCAGCCCTGCTGAGAGTATCTTCTTTCACGATAGTTTTGCTTTTCGGGGACACCTCTCTCTCTCTCTCTCTCTCTCTCTCTCTCTCTCTCTCTCATGGCGTGGATGAGACTGGCTGGATAACAAAATGGATTTGCTAAGATATACCTGTGTTCAGGCTACAATGGGTCAACCTTACTTTTCGTGAAAGGTTCGTGCCAACTCTCTTGGGGTAGCGGCAACAATAGATAGAACATCAATATATATATATTTTTTTTTGGTAAAGGATAGAACATCAATATTCCTTATAAGTATAACCAAATTTGGGATAACGTCTTTTATCAAGTCCATTTTCTGCATTCCTCTACCCCTGTATAGTAAGTGAACTCATTTCACTAAAAAGGACTGCAATCTAAGAAGAAAGTTCCAAGTTTTGGTCATATACAACCGTATAGTAACCAAATTTCCTAATGGCATTGCATCTATCTCCTTCGTCCTTAAGTTCATTTGCGTCTTGCTGTCCCCTTCATTGTTGCCTGGAATGCTGGTTTGAAAGTTAGACGTTATGTTCTGATTATTTGAAATGAATTTGACTTGGATCGTGAAGATTCATCAGTTAATTAGCGAGCATGAATTTAACTCAGATTATGATATCCCCCATGGATTATGTGCATTGATGCGCATTGTGTTCCTGTGCTCATATGGGCATGCGGGCAGTTGCTAGATAGACTATATAGTGTCAGGTATGAAGAGCGAACTTGACTACTTATATCAATTTATACCAATTAGCACCCTCTTAGTGATATTTTGCTGTGAAGTCTACTAACAAGTAGTATCTGTGTCTTGCATGTAGCATCAGTCGACGTATGATTAAGCAAGCACGTGCATTTACCTAGTTTAAGTTTTGAGGATCTTTCTTTTGGTTCGTAAATTGTCTAAGGACAATTAAAAAAATTCATGGTTATACTATTTATTCAAGCCAATCATAACCTTCGATTGCCTTGTCTCCATACAGGTCAGAAAATTTTTCATCAATTACATTAAACGAATCTGCCAGGGAGCTTAAGGAGATGATCGCCTTCAATACCTTGGCTGTTACTGAACTGGTCGCAGACAAACAAGGGGAATCACCTGATACTGCATCTGAAGAAGCTGCTAAGGAGGAAGAAGTAGAAATAGAAGAGGAGCGGAGCGGGAGTCTCTCCAGACACTTAGAAAGATAAGACCCAGTAAAGAACTTACAGCCAAGTTAGGAAAGCAAGGCCAAACAGAGATAAATTTAAAGGATGATCTTCCAGAGAGCGACAGGACCAACCTCTGTAAGACATATCTATTCTTTTGCCTGACTAGAGAAGAAACGAATATCCCCTTTGGAGCACAAATCACAACCAAAAAGGATGACTCTGAATATGTAAGCTTGGCGGTATCCATGGCTTGACTCCTAAGGAGATTGTGGAAGTCCACCGGGGTCTCGCCCAGCAGGCATTCAGGCAACAAGCAGAGAGGAAATTAGCTGATGGTCAGCTGACGAAGGCTAGGATTGAGCAGCTGAATGAGGTGCAGAAGCAAGTTTGCTTGCCTCCGGAATGGCTCAGAAAGTAATTAAGAGCATTACAACTACAGAGATGGCAGCTGCAATGGAAACTGCTCTCAGTCAGGGGAGATCCGAGAACTCAAGGAAGCGAGCGTAGATTTAGATAGCGTGATATCTGAGAGCCTGAGAGACAACCTCTTCAAAAAAATTGTGGATGAAATATTCTCTTCAGGTACGGGTGGATTTGATGAGGAGGAAGTTCACGAGAAAATACCAGCCGACCTGAATATCAATGCCGACAAAGCTAGAGAGGTGGTTCGCGAGCTAGCTCGAAGTAGATTGTCAAATTCGCTCATTCAGGCCGTGACCTTGTTGAGGCAAAGGAATCGACCAGGAGTGGTATAGACTTAACGGAGTTTGTCATCCTATGTTCTTCTACAAGTTGCGAGCCGTGAATTTTGAGGGTTGATATGTTTGCCAGGATGATGTGCCTCCTTTTAAAGCCATTTCAATCACTGTGTGCAGGTTTCCTCTCTCAATGATTTGCTGGCATGCGACAAAGCTGTACCGGCGGAGCAGCTGTCTTGGGAAGTGCCAGAAGAACTGGCAGACTTATTTGCTATATACTCGAAGAGCGAGCCTGCCCCAGAGAAACTATCGAGATTGCAGCATCTGCTTGGCGTTAGCGATTCAGCTGCGGCAGCTATCCGGGAGATGGGAGACAGAGTGATTCAAATTGGGGCTGAGGAGGAAGAGTTTGATTTCTGGGTAATTCTTTTTTCGTTTTCTTATGTATCGGCATAAGTTTCGTTTGGCCCAATGTGCAAGGGTCCATTGCTCAATTTGGATCTGCTCTCTCACTAGTTAGATTGTTCAAGGATGATAGAGCTCAAGGCGTGACGCTGAGTTGTCGAGATTTTGGTTATAATCATAGATTTATCGACATAACGGACCATTATGAGAGTATTGATCCCAAGTATTCCCTGCTGCATTAGTTCGTATCTATTCATCTCATCACCAACTCGACGAATTTACGGGGGTCCGTGCCTTATGGATCTGAGAGGAAAAGAAAAGTGGAGGGACCTTTGAGGCATCATGCATATTTGTTACTTAATATACGTCTCAAAGGTTTCAAGCGATTTAAAGAAGTGTATAGATGAAGATAGTATAAGATTTTGCGGGATCACTGCCGATTATTTTAAAAGTTTAAATTGTTAAATGATAGAAAATATTAGGTTAACTCTGATGCCAAATCAGCAAAAAACTAGTCTATTTACCTGTCAGATCTCTCTCTCCCTTTGTCTCTCTCCTCTATTTCTCTTCTTCTTCATCATTTCTTCCCCTCTCTTTTACCTTTTTTTTCCTTTCTTTCCCTTTGGCTTGTGGTCGATACTAGCTTTTGCCGGATCCGGCGAGAGCTCAACCCTCGCCTCCAGGGAGACGATTGCCTTGATAAATGGGGTCTGAAAAAATTTAAATTCAACATCTCATGCTCTGATACCATGTGAAATTTTGCGGGATCACTATCAATCGCTCTAAAAGTTTTAGCTGTTATATGAAGACGTTAATATTTAATTATTCTAACATATAAGCCATGCATGATCCTGTAGCTTCGACTCAGTCTAGAGGAAGACAAATAAAGAGAATGGGGATGCATCCTATATCCGAGTGCTGAAAATCAAGCTTGATGAATGTTGCGAATGGCTACATTGATGCTCTTGCAATCAAAATCCATTATCTTTATCCAGTACTCAAAGTCCCCAATTTCCTGTGCCGCGAATATTAGTAAGCATATCAAGACACGTTCGTTCGCTTAGTTTGGTAAAGCAATCTGAACTTACCTTGATGGGGGAGTTCAGAGCACGAGTGGAGGCGAGCTAGTGATCGGGCTGCTTCGTGAAGCGGGAAACGGCGGCAGCCAAAGCTCGATGCGGTTTTGGTTGAGGAAGGCCTCCTGCACCCCTCAACCTACATCAAGATAGCGAAATGGTGCGATGCCCAGTACACATCCCCGGAGGGCGAAGGCCCAAACAGTAAAAGTCCTTCATTAAAAACATAATGGGATGGAATGGATTGAGAAAGACATTTGGATAAGCGACGGTGACCGCTTCATTGGCTAACGCCATTGACTATTCAATGAGCCCAGAAGTGGACCGTACCATTTGACTAACCAACCACCTAAAAAGACACGTTTTTAGTTTCGGCTTCTTCAAATTGAATGCTTCTCCCCGTTTTTCCAAGGGAGTCGCATCCACGTCGCCTCCGTTAGGTATAGGGTTAACATCAATGCATACTTTTCCATCTCCCATCCCTCCTCAAAGTTTAGGCATTGGCTCCCGGTCTTCTCCCGTTAACCATGTCCTTTACTTCGATTGAATGTTTGCTCACAGGAAATCCTTGCCTTTCTCTAGAAAAGAGGGACGTGAAAGAACAGAGGGCCACACCCGTCTTTGCCTTTCTCTCTAGAAAAGATTCTTTGATTTAACGACAGCGACTGTGATATTGATGAAAATCGTTTTTAAACTGTACGGTTCTGCTTTCCCTATTCTTAGTCTCCATCTCGTGTTGATCCTTTCTATCCTACTTTCCTCATCCTCCAATTTCTCCGTCGTGGCGATGTTTTTCAATCGTCCGCTTATTACTTGTGTCTATATGTACATCTATATTTAGTATATGGAGCATGACATGATTGACCGGGGCAAATCTTACATGCGCCCAATTGAGTCCGTTCCATTTCTGCCATTGAATAATAATAACATGATTGCCTTCCACCAAAACTTTTCGTATTAGCTGCTAGTGTACTATACAATGTGAGGTAGTAACAGTAAGAGAAGATTTCGGATAAGACTAACAGGATTGATTTAGTGATCCGTCTTATCTATATGAATTAGACATATCATATGTATTCGATTCCTCGAACCACCAAGTACAAACAAGTTCGTGTTTGGACAATCCACTCCACTCGGGTTTTACTTGGCCCATGAAGTTAGTGAGATATCTTTTGACTCAAGTTTACCTACCTAATTAATTAAACTTCTTTGTCATAGAAAAAAAGACGATGATGAGATTTTCTATCTCTCAAAAATAAAATCACAAGCATCAATTTTAAAGAAAAAGTATTGACAGTGGGTGGATAAAAAAAAACCAGCTAATAGACGGGGTAAAATGACTAGTGATTATGGATAAGATTAGAAGTGGCCAATATCAATGGTTGTGGGCGGCAAAGATGGGGGTACAGAAAGGTTATGAGATTGGTGAATTACAAATTGAATCTTGTAAAGAAGACTGGGAAAATTTTCAAAACTGTACTAAATTTATTGCATTTTTGCCAATTCAATCATAAACATTTCAATTGTGCCAATTTAGTCTTAAACATTTTCACGTTTTGTCAACGCAGTCCAACTGGCCAATTTTGGCCAAATATTCGCTGACGTGGATGCCGACTGTCCGACATGGCACGGCTCTCGCTGACGTGGACAAAATTTATTAATTTTTTAATATTTTTTTCGAAATTTTTAGGACTGAATTGACCATCGTACCATAAGTTTATGACTTTTTGGACAATTATCTTGTTAGCTAGTATAAAAATTTAGGGGGGCCAGGCTTACACTGGTTGATACAATGCTTTGTGTTTTTGTTCCATAGAAATGAGAAACAGCAATGACAATGTTTCCTTGGCAAACCGACTCTAGTACATGAGCATTTGTGAATTTTATCTGAAGTTTGTCTTGTTGGGATTTTGGCACCCAAATTCCATAGAATTGAATGAGAAGTGTGTGGATGAAAGTGTCCCACATAGGATAGAAGAGGTGATGAGAGATGGTTTATTTTGAGGAGCCTCTCAAATGGGTTTGGGCTCCAAGGGGTACCCCACTTTTGTGGAAGAGAGAGGACCTACGTCAAGCTAGGTCGGTTCCCCCGTGCGCGCCGCCGGCCGGCTCGGTTCAAGTCCATTCTCTATCGGTTTTTTATTTTATTTTTTTATTTTTTTCGAACAGACACGTTTTGTTAGAAATTAATAAATTATTTATTTTTTGGACAAACAGACATGTCTGTTCGTGAGGTTTGGTTCGCCCGAACAAAAACCGGTTCAAGAGAGCCTTCGCTACTGTTCATTAACTGAACGGGAACCGCTCGTGACTCTTTATTTTCGTCCTTGGTGACTATTCATTTTCGCACATGACCAAACGAAGTCTTGTGACTCTTCATGAATATTAAGACTGAACCGAATTGAACATTTTCGGTGTAGTCTCTCCGCATATTCATTTTTTCACGGCATTCTGCTGCACACTCATCATTGTCATTTTTTGTGCGATTGTTCTGCGAAGTTGCGTTCGAAGGTTTCCTTTGAAGAAGTACCGCTTCATAGGAAAGGCGATCCGTTCTATCCTGGGAGGCAATTGTTCAACAACCTTTGGGTACCGGTAGAGGGGACAAATTGTCTTAAGGACACAACGTGAATTCGTTGGGCTCGGATCAATCGTCAAATTCGAATCACTCATTTCAGGTTTGTCAAACAACTTTACTTTATTTTGCACATACAAACACACGTATTTGAACAACAATCTTAAGACAATTTTGTATTATTGTGTTTGTATAGTTACATTCTCAATCATTTCTGTCTTCGTGTCAGAAATGGCTACAACATCGACGACGCCTATTGCGTCTGTTCCAACTCATGGAGAGAAGCCGGAAAAGTTCAATGGGGCTGATTTTAAGAGATGGCAACAAAAGATGTTGTTCTACCTCACTACATTGAACTTGGCAAGGTTCCTCACGGAGGATGCTCCGAAGTTGGATGAAGGAGAGACAAACAAGGAAAAGGTTGCTGCTATAGATGCATGGAAGCATTCTGATTTTCTGTGTCGTAACTACATCCTCAATGGTCTGGACAATTCCCTCTACAACGTTTATAGTCCGCTAAAAACGGCTAAGGAGTTGTGGGAAAGTTTGGACAAGAAATACAAAACGGAAGATGCTGGGTTGAAGAAATTCATCGTCGGCAAATTTCTGGACTTCAAGATGGTAGATTCTAAAATCGTCTTAAGTCAAGTTCAAGAACTTCAAGTGATCACGCATGACATTCATGCTGAAGGTATGATGATTAGTGAATCATTTCAAGTGGCTGCTTTCATTGAAAAGTTACCACCGTCTTGAAAAGATTTCAAGAATTATCTCAAACACAAGAGAAAGGAATTATCACTTGAAGACTTAATTGTTCGATTGAGGATAGAGGAAGACAATAGGAATTCCGAGAAGAAAGTTGGCAGCAATCTGGCGGTCTCAAGGGCCAACGTTGTTGAAGAAGGATCAAAACCTAACAAGAAGAGGAAAAACTATGGATAGGGATCCACCCAAGGCGTGAAAAAATTCATTGGCAAATGCTACAATTGTGGAAAGTCTCGACATCGTGCCAAAGACTGTAGAGCCAAGAAAAGGAAGGTGACCCAGGCGAATGTGGTGGAACAGATTTCCAATGGTGTTGATAATATCAATCTTACTGCTATGATATCCGAGTGCAACATGGTGGGAAACCCCAAAGAATGGTGGATTGATACTGGAGCAACTCGTCATATTTGCGCCAATAAATTAATGTTCTCATCTTACATGCCTATGGAAGGTGATGAAAAACTCTATATGGGTAATTCATCGACCTCTAAGGTTGAAGGTGTTGGAAGGGTTGCTCTAAAGATGACCTCTGGGAAAGTTGTGACACTAAACAATGTGCTATATGTGCCAGACATACGTAAGAATTTAGTGTCCGGATCTCTTCTTAGCAAGAATGGTTTCAAGTTGGTGTTTGTGTCTGATAAGTTTGTACTCTCTAAGAATGAGATGTATGTAGGAAAGGGTTACCTTAGTGATGGTCTTTTCAAGTTGAATGTAATGACTGTTGTACCCAATGATGTTATGAATAAAGTTGTTTCTGCTTATGTGCTTGAGTCTCCTAATTTATGGCATGCTAAATTAGGACACGTTAATTATAAGTCAATAAAGAAATTAATGAACATGTGGTTATTGCCAAAATTCGATTGTTCAACTGAAAAGTGTCAAGTGTGTGTTGAATTTAAATTTTCTAAGCCTCCGTTTCATTCTATAGATAATAGAATCACAGAACCTTTAGATTTAATACACACAGACTTATGTGATTTGAAAGCAATACCGACAAGGGGTGGTAAGAAGTATTTTATTACTTTTATAGATGACTGCTCAAGGTATTATTATATTTATTTGCTTAGTAGTAAAGATGATGCTGTGAATGCTTTTAAAACTTATAAGTCCGAAGTTGAAACTCAGTTGAATAAGAAAATTAAAATAATAAGGAGTGACAAAGGAGGTGAACATGAATTTCCTTTTGAAGAAATTTGTTCTGAGTTTGGTATTATTCACCAAATTACTCCTCCTTATACGCCGCAATTTAATGGAGTGGCGGAAAGGAAAAATCGGTCTTTAAAGGAAACAATGAATGCATTGTTGAATAGTTCCGGTTTACCACAGAATTTGTGGGGGGAAGCTGTTTTGACGGCGAATTTTATTTTAAATAGAGTACCCCACAGAAAGACACAACAAACTCCCTATGAGAAATAGAAAGGCAGAATGCCTAACTTGAATTATCTCAAACTGTGGGGGTGTTTGGCTAAGATTGCGGTTCCTAAACCTAAAAAAGTTAAGATAGGATCAAAGACTGTTGACTGTGTTTTTATCGGATATGCTCAGAATAGCAATGCATATCATTTTCTTGTTCACAAGTCAGAGATCCCAGATATACATGTTAATACGATCATTGAATCAAGGGACGCTTCGTTCTTTGAAAATATATTTCGTTATAACATAGTATATGAGCCAATTGATAATAATAAAATGTCACGCCCCGTACCCCACGAAACGCGAGCATCCCACCTTCGGTCGTTTGACTGCGACGTCCCAGGAAGCGTCGCCGACCCACACCCATACAGAGATCAAACACAAGCGGAAGCATAAAATAAACAAATCCAGACAACTACAATATGAGCCAAGGATAGCCATACATAAAAAAAAAACCATCGAAGAAAATAATTACACATTTATATTACTATTAAAAACCCTTTGTACAATATTTACAAGTACAAACCAAAAAGGCACATATGATCAGTAGCCACTTGGTCAAAAAGTGGTAAGCGGCTAGGGAGGTTATGCTCAAACTTGGGAAGAGGGCTACAATCCAAAAAGTATCGGCCCTCATTACTAGTTAAGGACACGGGGCGACTTTATGGCTCCCAGTCAGGATCAGACGACTCAGTAGAATCATCTGACAGCTCCTCGGAGG